TCTGTATAAAAATCTCCTGTTTCTTCTTTCTTTTTCATATATCTTTTGGTTTTCAATTCTAGTGTATATATTTCATAGCTGTATTTTGTCACCTGCCTGGATTTTTTTTATTTATTTGTTGAATTTGATCGGCAAACCTGGAATTAGCCTTATCCGCTCCGGGAATCTGATCCGGTATTGTAATTATCTACATTTCCGGTTTATGGCAGCCATTGTTTGTTGATGTTGTTTTTGTCAGTCCGATATGTTTTTACTCAGATTTACACATTTCTTGTCGGCGATTTTTGGCATAAAGATAGCGGTTAAACAAAAGGAACATCGCTATCAAGAATAATAAAGATGAAAATGAATTTTGAAATCGTTTGGGAATTTTGCTCCCAAAATTGGGAAAAATGTAGGGTTTTTGCCATTGGGAATGCTAGAAAAATCAAACATTTTGAGAGTACAATGCCCGCGAGAAAGTTCATAGTAACTATATATAGACTGAAAAAAGTGCAGAAAAATGCATTGTTTTCGAATAATAACACGGCCTAAAAATATAAAAAAACCATTGTGATATCAATTATGAATTAATGAAACTGTATCTTCTTCTGTTAACTCTCCATATTTCACCATGATTGTTCCTCCTCCAAACGCTAATAGATCTCTTCAGTTTCATCAATCCTACTGGCGAAGTAAGCTTTTTCTGTGGATTTTCTGTTGTTTTCAATTTCTTTTTCTTGATGAAAGTCAAAAGTGGACAAAAAAGTTAAATATCTGATTAAAATCATTTTTGTTGCATCAATCAGGCGTTATTACCATGATTACTGGCAACAATTTAGCAAATGACTGATGATATTTTAAAATGAAGGCTTGGTAACTGTTTCTTATAGCTCGCAGTTGATCATAAACATCAGTAATTTTAGAAACTATTATAAGTCCGACGTTGAATTTCCATGAAAACTTAAAAACAAAGAGTTTCTTTTCTCAAAATTTACAATGTGTAGCTCTTGTAGAACTATTTTAGATACATATTCATTAAAATCAGCCATTACAAACATCACCATCAGCTTTTAATTATCATATCCATGTTCTATTAAACGTGTTGTTTTCAATTTTTTACATCACTGGGTCGACACCTCTGCTGGTGGGCTATCAGTACCCGAGGGTATCATCAGCTCAGTAGTCAGTACTTCGGTACTGACATAATTTATAACAAACTTTTCTAAAATTGCCCGTTTATAAATTTTGAAATTATAAAGAAACTAAGGTTTCAACTCCCTCAGGCAAAGTTGACCTTAGATGGATTTGGCTATTTATTTTAGGTATTTTTGTCATATAGCTCTTCAACTGTTTCGGTACTTATACATCCCTTGGATTTCAAATGTTTGGCTTTGAGCGGTCCTGATGAAGGTAAATCCAGAAAAGCGTTTCGGACGCATGAAATTATTAAACGTGTTGTTTTCAATTTTTTTCTATCTTTCTATGAGACAGTGCGTTTATTAATTCGCGGGGTGTTATACATAAATTATCTCTACCCAGAATGCATTGCAAAAAATTTGGCCATTGATTTTTGTTACTATTAAAAGTAATTAATCCCGTTTCAATCACAGTACGGGGGACAATGTAATCGCCTTACTATATAGCGGGTTGCACACTTCCTCTTGTGGACTTCTGGTATAATAAACATTAAACATATTTTATTTCCAATTCAGAGCCCTTGTGGGGCAAACAGATAAGAATCCATGACAAATCGCCCCACTGGCAAATCGCCCCACTTTTTCACCAACTCGCCCCACTCTTGTTTACCAACTCGCCCCACTTATGAAAAAGGGTAAAATTCCATTGAAAATAGGTTGGATAACTTGCCCCACTTATGAAAAGGGTTAAAATCCCGCTGAAATAAGGTCTGCCAACTCGCCCCACTCATGACAAATAGATAAACCACGATTAATTTAGTAATGCCAACTCGTCCCACTTATGAAAAAAGATGCAATCCCGTTGTATATCTATGTTCCTGCCCCACTTATAAATAAAATCAATACCTATAAAAACCTTAGATAAACATGTTTTTGTAGTTCTTTTCTTTTTGTTGAAATAAAGCAGAAAGAAGTGAGTATCAGTATTTCTGCGCATTGAACAGGTCAGGAATAACCACCAATTGGTGGATTATACCTCAATTGACGTATAATCAACCAATTGACATATATTGGTATAGACCAATTGACATATAATGCAAGTTTTTTGTTATAAAATGCTAGTGTGAGATAGGAGCATCATTTTGCAACTTACAACCTATTTTATGACCATTATTGAGTCCTCCGAAAGTTTCAGTTTTGTCAAAGCCTGCTGCATCTCTTGAGAATGCATGTGTACAACAATTCTTTTGTTGAAACATCTATACTATTGACCATGATTGACTTTTAATAATGAAAGTCAAGTATTAACAAAGAGCTCCATTCACCTGTGGAGTTGTACTCATAATCACATGACTGCAGACAGTATTGATGTCCATTGACAGGTGATTAGTGGTAAATTTGCCAATCAAGAATTGACAAGATAACAATAGAAGAAACAGCAAATACAATTATTGATTAAATGCAATATGTTATGTCACTATACTAAACTAGGAATGTTTGACATGTTTTCATACAATAATATGGTTTTAAGAAAACAATGCTCCATTTTGGTTGAATAATTTGCTTTGAAAAACAAAGAATTATACATCAATTGGTCTATACCATTATATGTCAATTGGTGGATTATACGTCAATTGAGGTATAATCCACCAATTGGTGGTTATTCCTGACCTGTTGAATGCCAACTAGCCCCACTTGTGAAAAATAGAAAAGTCCTAATGAATTGAGTCATGCCAACTCGCTCCACTTATGAAAAAGGAAGTAATGCCGTTGAATTTATGTCTGCCAACTCACCCCACTGATAAATAAAAGTATGTACAGAATTAAAGACTACTAACTAGCCCCACTTATGAATAAAAGAATTATTCATCTAGATTTTACCTTTTTTCATTAAGTGGTGCGAGTTGGCAGGAGAAAAATTAACGGGATTTAACCCTTTTCACAAGTGGGGCGAGTTGGTAAACCAGTTTGGGGCGAGTTTTTTAAAAGTGGGGCGATTTGGTGTGGGGCGATTTTCCAGTGGGGCGATTTGTCCTGCTTCCACAGATACATAGTTTTTGTCATGTCCTGATCCAGTAACTATTAATAACCGTAGAGTAGATTGTCTTATGTATGCTGATGATGTCGTAATTTTTTCAGAAACACAGGAAGGTTTGCAAAAGAGAATTAATATGTTACATGAATATTGTTTAGAATGGTGTTTTGATGTTAATCTAAAAAAGACAAAAAGTATAATTTTTAACAAGCCAGGAAAATTCTTAAAATGCTGTTTACATTTTGGAGGTAAAGAGATTGAATGTGCAAAATTATATAGATATCTTGGAATCACATTTACATCTAGTGGTATATTCAAGCAGTGTAAAGATGAATTATACAACAAATCTTTAAAAGCATGTTTTAAGCTACAGAGATGCTTGTCATCATCTAACCCTAGTATTGCCACTTTTTTACATCTTTATGATCATACAGTTAAACCGATACTATTATGTGGCAGTGAAATATGGGGAATGTTTCGTACTGATTCAGCTGCATGTAAAAAAGATAATGATTATATATTGGAAAAAGTTTTTGGTCAGGATTCCTCTGAAAAAGCTCATAACAAATTTATGAAATATATTCTTGGTGTAAACAGAAAGTCCAGTAACATAGCTGTGATGTCAGAGCTTGGTAGATTTCCTATTTATTTTACTATAATTTTATCAATGTTAAAATATTGTCATAGACTGGAAGGTTTGAAAGAAGGATTATTATTTGATGCATTCATATGTTGTAAACAATTACATATTTCTAATGGAAATACATGGTACTCTAGTATAGATTATATTCAGAGAGAGATTGATTTACCAAATTTTGACCAATCAATTGGTTCTTTATGTCAGTATGTTAAAAATAAACTATGTGAAAGTTATTTAACATTTTGGAATAGACTGAAGTATCAAACAATTAACTCTGAAAAAGGGAAGCTTGGTACTTATTTTTCTATAAAAAATTGTTTTAAAAAAGAAAAATATTTAGAACTACAGGATTTTAAAAAAAGACAGTCAATTTGTAAATTAAAAATAAGTGCTCTCTCTTTAAAAATTGAGACAGACAGATATTCAAAAAAATATATAGAAAGATCTGAGCGTCTTTGTTCAAATTGCTCACTTGGTAAAGTTGAAGATGAGCTTCATTTTTTGTTAGAATGTCCTCTTTATGATACTCAAAGGGAAGACTTTTTTCGATACATATCTGACAATTGTTATAATTTAAAAAATTTAAATAAATCTAAATTTTTATGGCTCTTGACTCAAGAAAATGTAACTCTTATGGAAAAACTGGGCTGTTATATTTGTGACTGTTTTGAATTAAGGAGATCAGGTATGCATATTGACACTAAGTCAAGTAAATGATTTGAGAATGAATGCATATAATGTAATTTTATTCTTTTATTCACAATATATATATGTGGTTTTTGGCTCTGATTCTGACCAATGCTAATATACTAAATATATATTTTCAAGTGACTATTATTGTTGTTGTTACCAATTATGTAAATCAATTGTATCTGATTTTATGCCCTTTATGGGCCCTGTAATTTGGGAAATTAAAAATATTCTATTCTATGCTATGATAAATTATAGAATGATGCAAATACTGAAATAGAGATAGCAATAATATAAACTATGTTCTGACACATGATATTATTTGAATATAAATATCCTACAAAATGGTAATTACAACTTTACCTTAGAGCTTACATAGAATTACGGATACCTACAGCTTAATCGTCTATGAATACTAAAGAGGCAAACCGAAAGTACACTAACTTGCTAAAAAATATAACGGCGGGAATGATCTCCCTTTAATCAACCGGATATCCGCTGTAGCCCCTAGCGGAAATCTCCATAGCAATTGTTCACACAATGGAAGATAATTCTCCTGTTTAGGATAAAATTGAAGTTTTCGTGCATTAAACAAACAGTATTGATGCACAAAAAATATCAGAATCGATTCTGAATGAGATTTCAATAATATAAAATAATTTGAGCTAAAATTTTGCGGCTAACAAAGTAAAATTCTTTCGAAACCACAGGATATTAGTAGAGGAAAGCTTCGTGAAGTGCAGTGAGGGAGACTTTTTTTTAGATTAGGCATATTGTGATATACACACAGATTGAAGATGGGAGATAAGAAGAATGATATGGACAGAATTGGTCTGTTCCAGGAAATGGGATATGTCACAATTGGAGACAAATATAAATCAGCCAATCAAAGTATGATATTGTCACAAATACTTGTAACTGTTTAATATCTGCAGGTGTCTCTCTTAATACTGGAGAGTATTTTGTAATATATTTGTCTCACATGTTAAGACATTTTCTTCTCACTGGTTCTTTACTCACATATATTGTAGGTGGCAACTGTATAAAAATGAAATTAACAGACTAAACAGAGTAGTTCTGAGACTCGTACTGTGTATCCATATTAATACCCCTTATCGCTATCACTATTTGTCTGCCGTTACTGGAAATGACAGAAGCTTCAGTAAAATTTTGATGTCACAACAGAAGTGTCACAGATTCTTTCTACCACCATATTTTATTGAAGAAATATTAATAATATAATTCTTTTTAGTCAATAACAGTCATGCTCTTTGCTCATTTAATTTTAACATGGGTAAACATTATATTTGTCAATATCTTTACAAACCAGTTAGCGGTTAGCAGTTTTCTGTCAAATAGAACAGCAGTGAAATACTAGCATTAAAACAGCCTTGGGAGATCATTGCATGAATAAATCAGTTATTTAGTTTTAGGGTTCCTTTTTTGCAATTACTTCATTTTTGTATTGACCACCTGGTAAGGCATATTAATAACAACAAAGGTTTGATGTTGCCTGTAACATCCTACATTGTATATCTCTGACAGTATTGAAGTTCTACATTAAAAAATAGTTGTTATGAAAGAGTGGAATAAAAAGACCTGGTCACCATGAAGAAAATACCAAGATTGGAATCAAAACTTTTGTCTCTTAGCGTTCCTATCTAAGAGTGATGTGGATACACATGTAGTACCTTCTTAAGTCATTTTTTCTATAGTAATTATCGCCCTTACTAGCTTGTCAATACCTAAATGAAATAATTTTTATTAATTTTGCCTTTATTTGGGATGAGTGATCACATTCACATTATTTACATCTGTTAGTTTTTTAGTAAATTAACTTTGAGGTGTTTTATCTCTGAAAATGATTGATGTGTTTAAATTGCTGTCATTTGCAACAGCTCGAATTCTTACATCTTTTTCTGCTGACAAATTCTAAACAATTAGAAATCAACTTGTTGTGGCCTAATGGACATCTGAATTACAATAAGAAAAACAATTTTAGTTCACAATGTAAACAAAATATTTGTTTGTATATTGAATTCTGTTAAATTAACTTATATGTAAAATAAGGAAAATAAAAGATCGGTAATTCTATTGTACTTTTTTTTGTATTTAAAAAAAACTTCCTTACTTACATATTTTACCTTTTTCAACATTTGTTTGTAGTGGCATTCAATGACGCTTCACAAAAAGGCAAACAGATGTTGCCTGGAGGGAGTAAGGAAAGATCAGCATTACAAGCAGGATATTTTACAGATAAATTTGGTAGAGTTTTTGAATCAGAAGGATATTCGGATCCAATCAAACTACGACGGCAGCACAGACTTAGAGAAGCTCAGAAAAATATAGTAAAAAGTGCATTTTTACCAAGTAGTGGTGATAAGAAAATGTATGTACTGTAATTTTAAAGCTTATTTACACAAGGGATGTTAGAATTAATTATTGTTTTTTATAGTTTGCCTGGAAATATCAAGTAAAGTTTTGAAAATGATACTCATCTACATGTATATTTATAGGCCAAGGAAATGAAGGATTTTTTGCTTTAAATAATTTTTATAAACAATAAATTTGACCTCAAATATTTAATAGATGTACCATAATGTCTGGTATTAATCTATGACATATGTTAGATTCCTTCACCAATACAAGTATCTAATATTTGATTCGCTGAGACAGTTTCAAATTCATATAATAATATATATGATTGTCTGAATGTGTATGTAATATTTGAAACAGGTCGTGAGGCTGCCATTTATCAATCAAGTAATTTACTTCATAAAACATTATATAACAGGATTTTAGCAAAATTCCTATAACTGTGATTATCCAAGAAGCTTTGCACTTTTACAATACCGATGGGTAAAATAAAATCAGGTCGTAAATCTACTGGTGAAAATTTGTCAGCTGCATTAAAAGCAATTGTAATTATGTAATGAAAATATTTCATCTACATGTATTCAATTCAAATGATTATGGTTCTGCTTCAACGAGATTGTAACTAAATAGCACAAAATACATACATGTATAGAGGTGATTTTAACAATTAAAACAAATTATTTACACATTCCTAGAATTGACATACATGTACATGTAGCATTTTATATACCTTGAATCCGGCAAGCAATGATTATATGTCTGGTTATAATTTCAGGTCTGGATTAGGAAGTCATTATGGTACATTAAGTGGTCCAATTGGTGCACTGAGTCCGCAGGCTAGACCAGGAAAACCACATAAAACTTCAGGGAAGAATTTTATGACAAATCCAGGAAAGAGGGGAACAGGATTTGGGTAAGAAATTATAAAATGGCTGAAACCTTTGTTGTAAAAAAAAAAAAATTGTGTACCAATGCTAATTTAGTTAACTATTAAGTGAACTAGGTAACAGAATATTGATAAAAAAAAATGTGATATAAGTTAAGCAGCAATCAATCAATCATTCTAATTAGAATGATTATATTAAGTGATTAATAGTATTAATTTTATTCAATTATATTTACATATTGACATTATGTATTATTTATTTATGTATGGTGCTTAAATTAAAATGATTTTCATATCTTTTAAATATTTGTGTCTACAACATGATGATAAGAATAAAAGGAAATGTGGGGTAAAAATTAATGTGACAGCAAACCAACAACACAAAAAGTCCCCTAATGAATGTAGAAGTCAACATAGGGTGTTCAACAAATTCAATACGACAAGTTTGTTTTTTTAACAAACGACTACCCATGAGGGTCTTGCACGGTCGTTAAAATTCAATAGACAATCTGTCTAGCTCTAAATTGATCTGAGTCATGTTTAGCCAATAGAAAATTATGGACCATAAAAAATGTTAACCCACTGTAATTATTCTGAAATCAATGATATTCCATTACCATGTTTGATAAAATTTCAGGTATCTTGGTGTAACACTTGGGAATTATCCAAAGTATCAAAATGAACCTTATGAAGTTCATAAGGATATAACGAAGGTTTGTTACAATCACATTGTAACATTAACTTGCTAACAATACTACATGTTGTGTATTGTAATCTTATCCATGCTTTCCTCTTGTGACATATATGTCTTGTGTTGTGAGAAAATATGTACCAAACAAATGTTGTTTTAAAATTAAGTTCATTTATATAATCTGAAGTTGAAGTTCAACTTTGATCATTTGTTTGGTGCAAGATCACTTTAATTGTATGTCACATTTTGTGTGTCTTTGATTTTGATTAAAAAAAATATGATGCCTGTAATGAATAGAAATATCATGTTTTAACCTAAAGTTCTCTTGTTCTTCTTTTCGTTTTTTTTTTTTTTTTTTGAAAAAGAAAATATAATCTTGTTTTTAAACTTCACGAATTAATATATAACATTAAATGTTATAAAATTAGAAGGCATGTATCAGACAGCCTTGCAGCTGATAAATTTCAGTAGAATAAAGATAAAATGTCAATGAAAAACTTCGATAATTATGTGTCTGAAAACATGAGATTTCTATTGTCACTTTTTATTTAACAATAACTCTTTTAACTGCTTTTGCTTTTGCTGTTGATACTGTGTGTGTTTTCTAGCTATATCGGTATAACTCTTGGAGATTATCCTAAGTACCAAGGTGATTCCTATAGCAGAGCAAGGGAGATAACTAAGGTAATATTTGTTCATGTTATCCTCGAAAGAATGTGCAGAACAAGTGTAATTTATTAAGTATATTACAGCAACTGTTTAAACTTAGTAAAAAAATAAAATAATAGCAAGACTGAACTGTGACCATGCAGGTTTGTAATCTTGCATTATATTTAATCATTGATGCATTCTTAAGAATCTACCCTGAGGTTGTGTATAAAAGTATTAAATGTAGAATATATTAATCAGAAAATTCTTGTTCCATCAAATTATAATGTAATTAATTACAAATCTATTATTTCATAACTGAGGCTCTTCTAATTAAATTTAGTATATCAGATAATTAATTTGATTGATACCCTTAATGCGCTAAGAAAAAAATAACCACTTTTTCTCTGATACTAAATAAAAAAGGATCAATATTAATATTGTAGTTAACAAGAATTTCAATCATAATTTAATTCTGGTCTGTTGCCTTTAAATGTTTTGTGAGAGAAAAAAACACCATCATTTCATTCAAAATAACCATTTGTTTTTTTTTGTAAATTGTTTTGTTATAAATTAGGCCTTTAGTTTGCTCAATTGAATTGATTCACATTTTTCATGCCGGGGCTTTTTATAGGCGACCATACGGTATGGGTTTTTTCATTGTTGAAGGTCATACCGTTGCCTATAAACTTGCTTACATCCACTTTATTTGAATTTTGGTGGATAGTTGTCTCATTGGCAATTATACCACATATCCCTATTTTTATAAAAACTTTAACTGATCTGAAAATAGAAAATGTACCCTAAACTGTTTTGCTTTTAAACCATTTCAACCTCATTCTCCTATGCTAAGTGTGTGTGCTTTTTGGATCTTTCAGATAGCTTCTTCCTGTTTTCCGAAACTTTTAACTACAGGTGTAGTATGCTAAGCACAACAACATGTGCATTCTTGTTTATGATTGTCATCTATTAGTAGGATTTGTAAAAAAGATTTCCATAGTTGTTCTTTGAATTTTTTTACACATTGAAGGTTTCTTAGGGTGTATATAAATTGTACCCTTATTTTTATATGGAAAGTATTTAGATTGAAACAGATTTGAGTAAAGTGGATTTCAGTAAAACTGTTATTAAACATTTCTTGAATACTTCTACTGTGCACCTTTTATTTTAGTTTAAATCCAAATTACTTATGAGGTTTCCAACTTTTCCTGCCTATTAGAGGGGATAAGCATATCGTATCCTTATATTGTCAGGGTTTAAATGAAATTTTAACAGAATCTTTCATTCAAAATACCTTTGTGCACCTCCCATTTTAAGATATTGATAAGAACATAAAATTGATAAAAGGTGACAGAGAACATCGAAACCATGTTCTTGTTTTTACATATTATTGCAAACCAAATGAAACTTTTCCACAGATTCATCTCCTATTGGTCAATCTATCTAAACTGTTGTCAGTTCTATTGTCCCATTGAATATACACAAAAGCTAGTGTTCTCTGTGCAGTTTTTTCACTGGGACCTTTAAATTTCTTCTAAGAGAAATCCATCACTTATTGATTAATTTACCTGAGTAAAAAAAATATCTTCTAAAAGATTGAAATACATGTTTTACACTCACAAAACTGCCTGTGATGTTGTATTTATTCAATATCAATAATATATTTTCAATCTGTTGAATGTAAACTGATTCAAACATTGTTTAAAAGTTGATTTCTGACAAAATCTTCACACAAATAAAAACTGGAAAATGACGATGTTTAAATTACGGTCTTCTTAAATGTATTCTATAACTAAACAAAAAAAAGCAAAAAAATCAATAGGAACAATGCTAAAAAGTTTGTCAGAAATCAACTTTTTATAATTAAATCAGTGTTTATATTGATCTTATTGAAAATATATTATTGATACTAAATAAATACAAGATCACATGCAGTTTTGTGAGTGTAAAACATGTATTTTCATCTATTTAGAAGATATTTTTTTTACTCAGGTAAATTAATCAAATAGTGATGGATTTCTCTTAAAAGAAATTTCAAGGTCCCAGTGAATAGATTGCATAGAACAATAGCTTTTATATTTATTCAATAGGACAATAGAACTGACAAAAGTTTTAATAGATTGACCAATAGGAGATGAAAAGTTTCATTTGGTTCACAATAAAACATAATTTCAAATAATAGATAAAAGGATATTAAAGTATTATAAAAGGCATAGGTTTTAAAACTTTTTTCTATTGATTTAACATTGTTTTTGTGCTATACATTTTCACAGAAAGAACTTGCTGCACATAAAGCTGCATTGAAAGGAGATTCATTTAAACTGAATATGCATCCAAAATCTTACTTTGATTCCAATCCATATCACACAGACAAACCAATGTCAAGAAAAGGATCAGCATCTATTACAAAGAAATTGGATGGTCCAAAATTCAAACCAAGTTCTCCTGGAAAGAGAGTAAGCATATTGATTATTTTAAAGTTTTCACATTAAATACACTAATAATCAACAAAAAGGTAGAGAAATTGATGTGGACAGAAACTATATAAAACATTTTGTATACATGAAAATTACTATTCTGCCTCCAACTACAAATATGGTACCAGGTAATTTCTTTTTTTTTCTGTTTTGTTCAATGAAGGGTTAAATTTTTCTGCTAAAAATTCTTCAGGGTTTATGTTTTGAAGTATATTTTACATCAATATTCTATGTTTTTATTATGACTTCAATATTTTTATCCTTTACGGTAGATAAACAATAAACATGTTCTTTCTATAAGACCATCATTAATATTTTTTTAATGGTAAAAAGCAAAGATATCTAATGTTATGATTTAATTTTGACCAATGAAGAGCTGTGAACAATCAGAAGACAAGTTGAAATAAACGATGGGTTGACAAAAGTATGAATCATTTCATAATTTGGAAATGTGGTATATTTGTATACTGGCATGTTTATCTTAAAACAAACACTCAATATTTATTCATCTTTAATAAAATCATAAAGTTGACTGACCACAAATGGGTTGAGACCACTGCAGATTTGATGGTCAAGAGGGTTGTGAAGGTCTTTCTCTTCATGCGTTTAAACAACCTCTTATTTCGCTATGGTATTAAATGTCACACAAGTTTATTTTTTTTCTTAATATGGAAATTTTTTTTGTAGCCTGCTGGATGTAAAGCTGGAACCTTTGATCCTTACCCATCACACTCAGCTGATCCTTATAAGATGAAAATACACCGACCAGTCAATGTAGTCAACAAGAGTGGAAAAATATTTGTCCCATCACAAGGTCCAAAAACTACACCTTCTGTTTCTATAGTGGATCAAAATGTTATGAGGTAAATAAACAAAAATTATACATAACTTTCCTTTTAAGGACAAGAAGTTTTATTCAATTCTTATATTTTGAACACATTATTTTCAGCCACAGTTGCACAGTAGTGTATTATATCCTTATATTGTAAATTAATTACAGGTACCAGAAATAAGTTATAAATATTTTCAAAAATAACATTTTTAAACTTGTCAGAAAAAAAGTTTTTAAAGCTTATCATTGCTCAGTGCAAATCATTCTCTCAAAAATACTTCTAACCAAAAATAGTCTGAAAATGCCCAAATTACACTTAATTTTCCCTAGTTAGTGAACAAATTGTGTGGCATCTGTTTTCCCAGGTTTGTTTTTGTAGGGTAGCTGTCTCATGGACATAACCCTACAAATCAATTTATACACATAACAAATTATCATTTAACTATAGCTTACTCAACAAACTTCTTAAATGTTGAAACACATTCTTGTATTATCAAACTGAAATTGTAAGGATCATATATACTTTTTGATGTTCACTTTACATCTTTTTCAAAATTTTCATCTCCATTATCTCTTTGTTTTTCAGAACAATCAACATACAGAATTACAGATCAGTATCTTCAATAGTATAAGTTGTATAGCCACCACATTAATTATTTAATTCCACCTTAATGTGCATTTTATGTATTTAGTCTGTTACCAGACACAAACTAAATTCATGAAGATTGAAGAACAGAAAAAACTGTCTTACAATCTCTGGATAGTATTTTGTTATGTTGGGATGAAGGAAATATTTCATTATGTCTGTCAATTAGGATTTATTCATTTTCGTAAATACTATATGTATTTGTGATTCAATGAAAAAGTTACTGTTTCACAGATACTTCATTTTGTTGTTTTATCACATAATTTTGTGATTTGTTTGCACAAAAATGAGCATTTTGAAAAAAGATATTCCATGGAAATTAGTATTTTATAAAAAATAGTTAAATGACAAATAATCTTTGAAAATAAGTATTCCATGGGATAGCAATGAATCCACCATACTTTCATTTAATTCATTCAGCTAAAACTGACTATTTGTTTGGTTTGTTATTACATATATTATTTTGTAATTGTTTTGTTGCAGATAATATGAATTTTATTTGTTTTGTCTATAAAATGAAAAAGACTAAGTTTGTATTAAAATCTGTAATGATTCAAACCAAAGTATGGTCTTTCGTCATGTAATTATCTCCCCTTACTAAGATAGATTTTTCTTAATTGAAGGGCAAGGTTTTGCTTGTCTATTTTGATAAGAAATCCAGTGTAAGAGGTAAAATTTATATGTTGACTTTTTTTACATATAAGTTGATATATAATATGTATTTTTGTTTGTATGTAAACATATGTATAAAGAAAATAATGTGAATGTTATTTTAAATGTGTCAAAGCTATTTCTTTTTAATGTGATACACATATCGTTTGTTCTTTACCTCTCTTAAACCCTTTGTATAATTTTATTTGAAAGCTATCTGTTAAATATTTTACTTTTAAAATTATGCAAGATATTTATATTTATATATATGATGTGAAATACCATTTTTTCCTCCTCAGAATACCACATAGATTGTTCACCCTTTAGACGATAAAATTAGGTGCTACAATTAGATATAAAGTAAATGTCCAAACAGTCAGAAATTGGAAATTTGTACTGTTAGCCTCTTAAATTTTCAAATTGCTATATTAATCTTGCTTAAGGAAGTGCAATCTTAGTTAATTATTATGCTCAAGAATTACCGTATTGCAATTTCTGTATTAAATTGTGGTGCAAAAAAGACATGTAAAATCCATGGTTTGAGACAACAAAATCAACTATAAATCAAAAGTATTAAATATATTTTTTTTGTAGAGTGTTTTATTTTGATTGAAAATAGATATATATTGATTAAATTTTAAATTTTATAATCATGGTAGCAGTGTTCACTTATGTTTAGCAAAGAAATATCTGATGGACATTGAGTAATTTTAGACTCATCCATGTACTTGAATGGATTGCCAGTTTGGTCATTTACTTTATAATATTAGTGTAAACTGCTGAAACACATCATAGAAGAGCACATCTGTTCAGATTATGACTATTTGATTTTAATCGAGGATTATGAGTCTATTAAATGGTATTCTATTTTTACTGTTTGTTTTCTTCTTTTAATTGCCTCATCATGCAAGTCATTGCTTTCACTGACAAAACATAACTGAAAAGAGACTGAGGTAAACTTTAGAGAGATAGCAACCAAACAACCCCAAAAAGACATTTAGAGGTCAACAAAAATATTTTTGGGAAAAATAACCAATTTGATTCACAGATAATGAAAATTGGAACAAGATGTCCTGCCATCAGATATATTGTCAGGTCCTTGCATGAAACATGGTATAATTGATATTACATTTGACGTTGCTTATTTTTTCATCTACATTAAAAATTATAATATAACACAGTGCTGCACATACACAATAGAAGGAATCCAAAAACCTACTGTAAGATTCATGACTAGAGAATTTTGCTAGACATGATAATCATGTGTCCGATGACTCCGCCTGCCAACCAAGATGGCTGACATGGCTAATAAACAGCTGCGCCATGAGCGCATGATACACCCGTCGCTTTTTCAAAGAATAAAGGTCAATAACTTCTCAATGTCATATCAGAAATTTATGAAAAACTAAAGGGAGGTTATCTTAATAGATATAAACCAGTCACCAAAGTTTCATGAAAACTGCTCAAAGCACTCTAAAGATATTGTCAGAAAACTAAAAAATCACCCCTATTTTATAAATAAAATCCCATAACTTGGTAACGTAAAATCTAAATTTATAAAAATCGAAAGGGAGCTCATGTCAATAGATATAAACAATTCACCAAAGTTTCTTGCAAATTAGTGAAAGTGTTTTTGAGTTATTGTCCGAAAACTGGAAAATCCTCCTTTTTTAATGAATAAAACCCCATAACTCGGAAACGTAAATTCTAAAATTTATAAAAAAGAAAGGGAGCTCACGTCAATAGATATAAACACACCAAAGTTTCTTGCAAATTGGTTAAAGCGTTTTTGAGTTATTGTCCGACATGTTGACGACGGACGTATGAAAATAGAACATAGGGGTAAAATGCAAGTTTTGTCTATTATTTTGAAAACCATTATAGAGAAAAACTGACAGAAGCAGAAATGTTCCGAATGTTGAGCTCTACCAATTGTCCATATATGTCATAAACTGTTAACACAGAGATATGTCTCGCCTGTTTGTAATTTTGATAATGCGAATGTTGAAATTAAAATAGCAATCCTTTAACATGTAAGTTATGCAAATATTCAAAGTCAACAAAACCATGACTGAAGATACATGGCTAAACAATCTCCATGGAAATGAGATGTGCCAATGCTAATACAACTGCATACCAAATACTATTAACTTATCATAAGTAGCTCCCTTTAAACAAACTTAATTAAACACAAACATTAACTTGTTAACTATGTAAAAATTTCAAAATCAATGAACCATGATGAGGGGTGAGGGCTATATAATCGCCATGGAAACAAGACTTATAAATGCCAATACATTTGCATACCAAATATCATTGACTTAACATAAGTGGTTCATCTTAAACTGATTGAATCACAAACTAATACATGTAAACTAAGCAAAAGTTCCAAAGTCAATAGACCATGACTGAGGGGGTGGGGCCAAATAATCTCCATGGAAATGAGATGTGCTAATGCTTATTATACATACCAAATATCATTGAACTACCAATAGTGGTTCCCCATAATCTGACCTAATCAATAACTAATACATGTAAACTAAGCAAAAGTTTCAAAGTCAATAGACCATGACTGAGGGGCAGGGCCAAATAATCTCCATGGAAATGAGATGTGCCAATGCTTATACAACTACATACCAAATATCATTGACCTACCAATAGTGGTACACCATAAACTAGACCTAATCACAAACTAATACATAGTTGACGCCAACGCCGTAAACAGCGTACCCATGTCTCGCTTTTTGACTACGTCAAGGCGAGACAAAAACTGTCAGACAACTTATTATAAGGAGTTATTGCCCATAAATGACAAATTATACCATTTTTTTTTTTCATTTTTGCCTATTATCTTAAATACTATAATAAATAGAAACTTTAAATTGCAAAAATTATCAGAAAGACAAGTTCTGCAAATAAGTCTTAACATGGTTGAAATCGTCAGTCGGATCCTTATTAGAGTTATTGCCCTTTGATGATTTTTACCAATTTTTTGCGCTTTTGCCCTATATCTTAAAAATTATAATAGATAGATAGGAACTTAAAGGCAAGATCTACTAACAAGTCAAATTTGGCCGATATAGTAAGTAGACTGTCACTCTTTATAGGAGTGATTGCCCTTAAATGAGGATGTTTTTACCCTCTTTTGTGTTTTGAGCCAAAAATAAACAGAATGTATGATCAGCAATACAAGATCAACAAAACAGAGATTTTTGTCATAAATTCTATTCTTGTCTAGAATGTTGGAGAGTGTCCTTTGATGAATATGCACATAGACTAAGGTGAGCAACACAGGCTCTTTAGAGCCTCTAGTTTAAACTGCTTATCAGTAATGGTGAGCTTTGTTTTTAATTTATGCTGTTTGGAAGTCATCAGATCATTTATTTGTAATGGGAAAATTTATGGACTTGATAATTCTGCTGGACATTACTGATGGACTGTTTGTTGCTCTCTAAATGTCTTTGGAATATTTGTGTCTTGGTTTCTGTCTTGTTGATGTATAGTCTATATCTCTTTTTACACATATAAGCAAGACTGGTCGGTATCATTGATCAGTTTTGTCTGATTGTTTACATTTTCTCTCAGTTATGTCACTCAGAAGTCTGTAGAAACCAATCTGATAGACATAATAAATCTTGCATTGATTCTATATACCAAATATAGGTGACCTTTTTAATAATAAGTAAAATATGATATTGATTTGCTCGCCTGTCAAATACTGAATTAATAAGATATGACCTTGAATAACTCTGGAATTATGCCTTTCATAAAGCGCTTTGTGGATTAAGACAATTATTGTGCTTAGCTCCACCTACTTGCATCAGCATACTATTAACTATTAATAACAGCTATTCTAACTAATGGGCAATAGTATGCTTTTCCCTGAAATAATTTAGTCTTTAAACTCTATGCCAAAATAAAGAATTATAATTGTCAATGAACATTTTTACACAAAGAGTGATAATGTTTGATAGCTAACTCAAAATACAAAATTACTCATATTTTGTGAGACAAGTAGAAATAAAACAACATAATATTTCTTTAAAACTTTTTATTACATTAATAAATTTACAGATAACTATAAAATTCACTCTGACATTTCAATTCATTCATATGGAAGTATCAACTTAAAGAGCATAAAGTTCAAGTAAAATATCCATGTACAAATCCAACAAACTTTCATCGATTAAAATCAACCAAATATATTATCATCAACAGAACATATGAAATCATTCAAGTCTCTTAAGTTACAGAAAATTGACATTTCATTTTTTCCACAGCAAAAAAGTTCTTTCACTGATACCCTATGTATGAAGTAAAGTATAATAAAAGTTCGATATCTGAAAGTTCATAATATGAATAGATGGAAGAGCCTATAAAAAGTTAGTATTTCTATGGATAAAAATGGTTAGTCCTGAAATCACTAAAAGTCATAGATAGAGAATGAATAGTCTTAATCTGTTAATTTTTTTTCTTTGAAGGAAATTTTTTTTCTGCTGTTGTAGGAAAAAGATTATTAAATTTTATGCAAGCTCTGGTACAAAGGAAATATTAAGATATGTTGAATAACCATCAAATCAATATTTATTAGTCAAATAATGTAAGTAAATCAATATACCAAGATACATATTATTCAGTTTGATAAACACAGTCCTCATAATGGTTAAACATGGTTTATAACTATCAAATAATATCACATTTTTTCCTATATCTGTATAAACTAAAAATATATAAACCCAAGTCTTTCATTTTTGGTCTTTTCTAAGAACTATTTCAAATAAATAAAAGGAGATGGTGGGTGTGCCTCAATAAGAGAGTAACCCAACAACAAAATGAAACCATAAGACATCTTGAGGAAAACATACAATTTTAAAAAATAGAAAAATGTGTCAAGTTTTAAATGGTCTGGAGTTTTAAAAATGCCAAATCCATTTAAAAAAACTTTAACAAATCATTAATTTCATCGTCCAGATCATTGTTAAAAAAATTCTGAAATCATTTGATCAAAAGTACATCACTGGAAAACCAGTAATGCAATAGAAAAAAAAATGTATAAGAGCATTGCCTGACAAACTTAGGTGGATGTAAAAAAAAAATCATCATATGGGCAGGTCTACAGTGCATAACAACAATGCATGCCATAATATAAACAAACCAGAAGCTTATAAAAATGACTTTGGTACTGTTTTTTTTCTGAACAAAATATTTTGTCAAATACCTGCACTTAAACCCCCTGAAATAGCACTTAAACTGTTTATGTTATAGCTTATCATGTTCATAAAAGTATTTGTATATTTACAATACTTAATGTACAGATAAAATAGAGAGGAATGACATGCATGGTCAAACATAATCATAAATACATTCACAAAAACTTCATCAGAATTATAAAACAGCAGATCATCATACACACAAGATTCTCACACATTCTCAATCACAAAGCAATACTCATACTAACATATGCATTGTTTACACCAGCACTAATGAGTCTTTAACAAATAAATAAACATGAATCCTTAGATGTACTGATTACTGTATTTCACACTGTGCTTCAGATTTCTCTCTGGACACTTGTCAGATACTTTAAAACATTTATAAAGTAGACTTGTACCAAAACCTTAGACTTAACACACTTCAGATACAACATTCATGTTTAAAATAAAGAACTTGTGAACAACTGCTGCCAATATGTTCTAATATATAATTTTCTATAAGAGTATCATTTTATAAATCATTTTATCAATCATTTAAAGCATTAGTTATTGACTTCTTATTAAATTATGAACTATTACTGAATTCTAATCACTCCTATTTAAATGGTATCAGACAAAAGTTTTAAAAGGCTTAGTGATATGGGTCAATTGTTATATTTCTGGAACAGTGCCAATTGTTATATTTCTGGAACAGAATTTTACTGAAAATAGTGAAGACTCTCAATCTTTATTCAAATAAATGAATTAAATCATCATAAATCACACTGTTGTCTTATGAATACAGCATTCAATTCTTTACATAAGATGGACAAGATGGTAGACTGGTTATATAATCTATTAGCTGTCAGTCACATCCTTATTTAAAATGACATGACAGGCGTATACAAAGGAATTTGAAATACAATATCTACTGAGACACAGATCACTTGTTTAATTTACAGCTTTTCATAAAACAATATTAGCTGTTTATAAGTAGATCATCACAAAGAAGATATGTATTCACAAGTTCCATATATTTTAATCAGTTTCAAGATCGTTTCTTTATTTTTTTCCTGTAACAGTTGAATGATTACTACATTGAAGAAAACAAGAACATTCAAATTCAGAATAAATGAATTTAATTTCATTTCACACAGCCTACTACATAGGGAATTAAGTTTTCTACTTTCTATTTTTACATTATAAGTAGTATTTGTTTTGTTACTTCAGTATGCTGCTAATTAAAAGAAATTAAAAGAAATTAAAAAAAACTAATGCTTCCTCATTATAATTTGAGAATTATAATTAAGTTGTGTCATTAACATTTTTAGGACAGGTCTGTCAACAATGTTATTAAAGTGTCCTCCTAGAATACATAAGAACAGTGCTGCAACTCCAGAAGAACGTCACTTAGTGTGGTTAAGCACAGGCATAACAGCGTATAAAAGTTCAATGAACACATGAGAATTAAAATAATGGACTAATGTTCTGTGTGGGTCAGTTGTGTATCTTGATGGCTTTCTCTGAATAAGGAACCTTAGAACGTTTAGGTGTTTTGTTCACGTGATCTAGACCTAACCATGGCCTAGCTTGCATACTTGCTCCTGAAAAAGACATAAAACATTTCTTAGTTTAATTCTGCCTACCACTTTATATCAACAACAAAATTTCAAGAATAAAAAGTCATAATTTTTGCTTAAATAATTTGGGAATGTGTCCATGGGAATGTGTCCATGGGACACAGATGATGCCCCCGCTTGCATATAACGTTATAAAGGTACATAACTCAAGAACGGTAAAAGTGACGCTACCCAAATTTGAAGTTGATCGGAGTTTTGTGGTAATTATGTATAAGATTCATAACACTTGGTTGAGGCAAACGTAAGGTAGAGAACGGAAATGAAAAATTTAGCAATTTTCCCATTTGTAAATGGGCATAATTCTATAACAGTAAAAGTGACGCCACCAAAATTCAAACTTGATCTGTGTTTTGTGGTAATAAGCATTGTGTATAAGATTCATAACATTTGGTTGAGGCAAACTTTAGAGAACGGAAACCAATTTTGGGACGTACGTACGTACGTACGGACAAGGGTAAAACTTAACTTAAACTAAATTGTTCATGTATTTCAGTAATTTAAATAAGAAGTAAAAATAAATGATGTTAATTAAGCAGGAATTATTAAAGTTAACTGCAAAATATTGAGAGCTTATTCAGATAATAATCATGATTTTTCCATTCGCTGTTTCAAGACTTACCTTGCATTGGATGAGGTTTAAATAGTGAGAGATCTACTTGGACATCATTTTCTTCATCAGAAATATATTCTACCTTTCCCATTACAACAATGGCAAACTTGTACTGAAAAAAATAAATAATTGTTCAGTTATTTATATATTTTCATAAAAAAAAGTACCCAAGCTTGTTGTCTCATGTACATTCTCCCTACATCTTTTTCCATATTTAATATACAATTCAATAACTCTGGTAGTGTGATTATGATCTGCTTCTATGTCATATCATATCAGTTCTGTTTTGTCATAATTTATATACTATTTTATAGTAGAAAAGCGGCCAATCTATATTTAAATCAGATATGGACTGACAAGAAAAAATATTTAGCTCTCATAAAGTCTGTTATAAGTTATAAGTTTTTTTTTTCTTTAATTTTTAAGGTTACAATAAAATGTCAATAAAACAAATAAACTTTCTGGATCAATTTGATAAACTCATCACACTGCTTTTTAAAAGAATATAAAGTAGATCCTTAGTGAACAAGCTCACAATAATCAGAACTATTACATTGTATATAGATATAAGAAGATGTGGTATGAGTGTCAATGAGACAACTCTCCATCCAAGTCAATTTGTAAAAGTAAACCATTATAGGTCAAAGTACGGCCTTCAACATGGAGCCTTGGCTCACACCGAACAGCAAGCTATAAAGGGCCCCAAAAATGACTAGTGTAAAACCATTCAAACAAGAAAACCAACAGTCTAATCTATATAATTGAGCTATAAATCAATACGAATCTCAATCCCCTTATATATTATCCTATGTTACATCTTGGAAACCCTATTCTGCACTTATTTAGATTTAATTTGAGTAACTATGACCTTGAGTATTGATGACTTCAGAATCAATAGGGATCATAATCTGATTATTTGTGACATAATATGAAAGTCTAGTTCTGGGGTTATTATCTGGCAACCCCTTTTCTGCACTAATTTCAGTCTATTTTAGCTATGATCTTGAACTTAGACATAGTGACCTCACAAAAAATAGGGGCCTTCCTCTCATTTTGTGATTAAATATAAAAGTAGGGTATCAATCCTATGTAAGGTTCCAGAGTTATTATCCTGAAATCCCTTTTCTGCACTTATTTCGGTCAATCTTGAGTAACTATGACTTTACCCTAGATGTGGTGACCCCAAAAATCAATAGGGATCTTCCTCTCATTATAACTGACCATATCTCCAAGTGAAATGAAGCATAGTTGGTTGGGAGATGTATTTTCTATGATACATATGTATGAGAAAACAGTCAATTCCAAACTTTATTAAATTGAATAATAGTCAATTGGACAAGACAAAAACAACATGGAGGATACCATCATAATCAGAACAATATCAAAAGGTTTACCATTGGTTTTTCCTGTTTCTTATATTTTATAATAACACAAATTGAGCATTCAGCATCTTTTGAAAGACCTTGTAGTTTAAACTTTACTTTTACCCATCATTTATTGTTTATGTAACTTTTGGTTTTTGTAATGACCCATTGTCCACCTTATCCTTTATTAGTAGGAACAATTTTGTCCTCGACTTAAAGTTTATTAGAATATTTGTTGATTAATAAGTCATCACAATTATGTAGAAAGTATTGGTTCCTTAACATTGATAATTTCTAGACTACCCCTACAAAAATAAAACTTACCTTCTCAAAATCTTTTTCTGATATTTCTAATTTCTTCTGAATTCTTTCTTTAACTGTTGAAAACTTTTCACCCTTCACATATGAAAATAAATATTAGTATGCTATTAATAAAATCAAACTATGAATAGCTTAAAAGCTAAAAACTTCTATAAGATGATCAGTATGATATAGTTAAGGCAATATTGACTTCAAATTTATAAATTAAAACTTTTTAATTGATCTACGTTGTTATGTGTGTTATGATGGAACTTACATACATTTACTTGTATGATTTCAATGAGATCATCTGTAACATAGCTCAACAGTGTTTTACATCTTTGGTTGTTTTTATACTATTTTTGTCGAGCCTTCGACTTTTGTCGAAAAAGCGAGACATAGCGATCCTACATTCCGTCGGCGGCGTCGTCGTTGGCGGTGTCCACAAATATTCACTCTGTGGTTAAAGTTTTTGAAATTTTAATAACTTTCTTAAACTATCCTGGATTTCTACCAAACTTGGACAGAAGCTTGTTTATGATCATAAGATAATATCCAAAAGTAAATTTTGTAAAAAAAAAATTCCATTTTTTCCGTATTTTACTTATAAATGGACTTAGTTTTTCTGCCAGGAAACATTACATTCACTCTGTGGTTAAAGTTTTTGAAATTTTAATAACTTTCTTAAACTATCCTGGATTTCTACCAAACTTGGAAAGAAGCTTGTTTATGATCATAAGATAGTATCCAGAAGTAAATTTTGTAAAAAAAAAAATTTTTTTTTTCAGTATTTTACTTATAAATGGACTTAGTTTTTCTGCCAGTTAACATTACATTCACTCTATGGTTAAAGTTTTTAAAATTTTAACAACTTTCTTAAACTATCTTGGATTTGTACCAAACTTGGAGAGAAGCTTGTTTATGATTAAAAGCTAGTATCTAGAAGGAAATTTTGTTCAAATTTTGTTCCATTTTTTCCGTATTTTACTTATAAATGGACTTAGTTTTTCTTCCAGTTAACATTACATACAGTCTGCAGTTTAAGTTTTTAAAACATTTATTAGATTCATAAACTGTCCTGGATTTTTACCAAACTTGGACAGAAGCTACTTACAATCAAAAGATAGTATAGAGAGGAATATTTTTATTAATTTTTTTCCTCATTTTTGTTGAGCCTGCGATTAACAGCAAAAGTAGGGGAGACACTGGGTTCCGCGGAACCCTTACGAATTTTTTTCTTTATGTGAACATGAAATAACATACCTGTTTAATTTTTAACAGAAATGGTACACCAAATGTAGAATAAACTTCCTGCAAAAAAAAAAAAAAAAAACAGTTATATCATAATATGTGTAACAAACAATAAAAGCAGAGTATATGTCATTTATTTATACCCAGACATCCTTACAATTTGTCAAAACAAGTTGAATTAAGTTTACTATAAGTGATGAAATCTCCACAGAATATTTAACTGAATGGATAATTTAATTGTATAATTATCCAGTTTCAATTAACGGATAATGCATTATTATTCAGTAGCAGATTACGGATATTTATGAAGTAGCGGATAACTTTCAGACACTATATAAATAGTGTGCCAGTGTTAATCCATCATTCTGCTTCTGAAGAAGATTAGTGAAGGACAAGGATTAATACATTATGCATAGATTTTAGCAACATATGCAATGGTCTTAACCAACAAGATATTGATTGCTGAACCCTTTCCCATTTCAGGCTATTTCAATGTTAGTTTCCAAACTAGAGGTACTGACAGTAATTATAAAATATATACACCCTATTTCTTTCTCCCATATGTCTCTAATTACAAAGTATTCAATGACAAAGCCTATTGTTTTCTATAGGAAATCCTTAGATAAATGAAATGTATAACAGCATTTACAGTAGATTCTCTTACTTCTCCTAGAAATCAATCAATAATTTTGAAGAATTTGTTGAACGATGCCTTCTGATAGATGAAGAGACAGACAGACAAGGTCATTGCAGTATACCACCTACTGCAAAAAAATACTTGATTGAAAAGTCATCTAAGTTGAGATTTAATAAGAATTTCATAGAAATCCATTCACTAATCTGTTCATGATGGATGCAAATAGTTGAATGAAAAGATGAACCCAAAATATAAATCCTGTACTTTATATAGTGTTTTAGTAATAAAACATACAATAAAATGCTCCACTGGGGCGCAGCTTGATACGACCGCAGAGGTCAAACCCTGAACAGTTGGGGCAAGTATGGACACAACATTCAAGCTTGATACAGCACTGAATTTGGATTGTAATTAAATATTTGACACAGCATAGGTTTCTGACACAGAATAAATGTGGTCTAAGAACTTAAAATTTTTTAATTTATCTATTCAAACCATATCATTATTTGCTTTTATATATAAATCAGAAATAACCAATTTAAAATGGAAAACCAATGTGTCTTTGGACGACGACGACGACGCCAACGTCATACCAATATATGACCACAAAATTTTTTTGCGGTCGTATAAAAACCCATACCTTATGAAAATGTGCTACTGGAATGAGAGTTTCATTGTCTTTCAGAGTGACTTCATCTTTTGGAATCTCTTCTATACGATATGTCTTTGTAGAACCACTCATATTAATGGCATCTAATAATGTTTCTTCTTTTTGTATGGAGTAAATTTTATTACTGATAACTTCTAACAACCTAGTGAATTAAATAACATTACATTTTAATAAAAAATATTTGAGCAGGTTTGTTAGGTCATCTTTATAAATGTTTGCTGCTATAAATGAAACCCAATATACTGTGGATATATTTTCGTGGGTACCAATTTTCGTGGATGAAGGAAAACTTGCATGTTCGTGGACATTTAATTTCGTGGTTTTGCCGAGGTCTTCATACAAGCCTTTAGAAAATTTGTCATTCGTTGAACATTTAATTTCGTGGTTCACCTATACCCACGAAATCCACGAAAACTGGTATCCAACGAATAATAATGAATCCACAGTAAACATTTCATTAGATCTGTATGCATGTGAACTAGTTATGAATAGTTCAATAAATTTAAATAAACCCATTCGGAACATTGCACTAAGCATTTTCCATTATATCAATAAGGAAACAGATTTTACCACTTTTATCTCTTCTATATAATTTTATTTAATCAACAGGGTTGTGTGTTGGAATCTATATTTATCATTTCATTTTATTATGTGAATCTGGTGAAACTGCCAGATATACAAAGAGGTAGATCAGTTGACCACAAAGATGTGGGACAAATGTCTATATACAAATTTCGGTGTATATATGTCTTTTAATGATGGAATTGAACTCTTATTTTATCTAAAAACATATTAAGGTTCCTCATCTAAAGAGGCTTTGTAACTCTGCTTATAATAATTAGATGATATATACCTCAGTTTGTCTGAGCCATCTGGTTCTAATTCTACTTGTTTCTTTGCTTCATCAAATAGGTCTGTTACTTTACCATTCTTACTAGGATATAAAACTAATTCTTTCTAAAAAATAAAGAAAGATCTTATGCAAAGGTAAATGTATATTTACATACTCTTAATTGTTCAACTGTTCAAAATAAAAAAAGGGGGTAGTCAAGTCTTCACAAAAATATTCAACTCTACCACATTTTTTTTGTCTTTTAAAATTTTAAAATTTCTATTGTCAATGATAAAAGTTTATATATTCAAATATTTATATAATTGAAATTACTTAAAAATAAACACTGTACATATCCTGCAATAATTTCAACACAAAATTTATATAACTTGTAATACTTCATTTTCTAGATCTTTATGCAGTTCCTCGTTTAATCTAATTCTGTAACAATTAAAATCAAATTTTAAATATCTCTTCATCATTTTCTCTGCTTATAATACAGTAGACTCCGGCAAATCGGATACCCAAAATGTCAGCTAAAAATATCCGATTACCCGATATATTCAATTAGACGATGAATGTATATTCATTGAAAATTCTGCAATAATGAGTAGATATAATCCTGAGATGTTACTAACCCTGACAATTGCTAAATATGTGAAAGGGCTGGAGGATTGATGGAGTGATTTTTATCAGTTACATCACCACGATGTTTGTGTAAAAAAATTATCAGCTGATTATGTAATGATTAAATTTGTTTGCAGATTTTAAATCCTTTATTTATTAAAATAAATCAAATGTCCTGAAATATATATGTGAATTATTATCTACCATCCATAGTTTGTCTTTATTTGTTTTGTAAGCAAATTAATATCCATTATTTACATTATCACACAGGTAAACTAATTTTGCTATAAATAGATCTAAGCATGTCTGTGTAGAATCTCCAAACTAAAATCATATTTGTTATAATTTTGTTTCTTTAAATAATCAAATTTAAATTTATGAAAATAATCATGATTGATAAAATATTATTGCATAAAGTTTACGTTTTCTGAAGACTATTTATATTTAGGTCATAGTTCTAGAGGCTTCCTCACAAATTTGTAAACATCCAAAATGGCGTCCATGACATGTGGTTACTTTTGCACATGTGAAAAAAATATATCTGACAAAAGTCAGATTTCTCTTGTCAAAAGGGATTTATATTTATATTGCAATAAATTATTCAGAAGGAGGTACATTCAGTTTAGATTATATTTCTGATTCTGTGAACATTTAGAGTTTAATCAAAATTCTCCAAACAGCAACGTCAACTTGTCAACTGAGTCTTGCATATTTTATAAATAAATTCAAACCATTTGAAGTAAAAGGGCATCTAATTCACATGACAAAGGAAGACAATGATTAAAGACAACAATTTATTAAGAAATAGTTCCTTTTATTTAGTAAAAACAAAATCTTCTTGTCTGCAAGATTGTAAATTCGTAACTTCCGGGTCCATTTCCTGTCAGAAAAACATTGAAAATATCCGATTGTGCATGGTTTTGAACAAAATGACCTGAATATTCTTATCCGATTTGCCGATATATTCTTATATCCGATACTCGATTACACGATAGAATTAACATTAAACATATAGGGAAGGGTTTGGTGTTTTGAAATAATATTACAATAGCCGATATATTCGTTTAGCCGATATCCGATTAGGTGGAGTCTACTGTAGTAGAAAATAAATCTTACCTCTTCTTTTAACTTGCTGGTAACCCATGTACATTTAAACTGTTTCTTGTTCTCTAATTCATTTATTTTTATATTTAACTGCAAAGAAAGAAAATATATGATATAATAATACTGTTGACAGATGCGCCATTTGCTAACAATGAAAGGAAAAACTGAGCTCCAAATGTCTGTTATTTGTTATGCAGCTTCAGTGAACTTTCCACATAAAACCCTTGCGCAATGTTCGCATTGTTTTATGCCAACATTAAGAAATTCAGGTCAGAACATTGAATGGATAAGTTAATCTCAGTTGTAGGTTTACAAAATCCCAGGAGAAGTTTACGGAAAAAAAAGTTACCTTCAAAGCTTTTAATACATGTATCAACATAATTTCAGATCATTTCAGAAAATAAAATGTGGTATCAAAACTTGCAACACTGAAATTGCTGAAATGGCCACCATCAGCTTTTAATCAATAAAAGCTTAAGGTTTTCAACAATGAGCTCCATAAGATAAAACTTGTGTTTTCTTCAAACAAATACAAATCTATCATTTTATTTTTAAATGCCCCATCAATTAACAGTTCTATCATTTCTGTATAGGTGATTGTGACAAACTGGTATGGACTTAAAATGTATATTATTTAGTAAATTTAAAGTGGAATACTGAAACACAATTTAGAAGGTAGTAGAAATAATTAAACTCCTAAATTTGACCTTAAATGAAGTTTTTGTAACAAGAAGAATGTAGAAAGGAATGAAGAGAAGAATGTGACCTTAACTTGGTATACAGGACCTTACAATGCTATATTTAACTAAGGGCCTCTTTACAAAATTACCTTCTTTACCCTCAATATATTTCTAAGAAATTTAGATATTCAACATTTTTTCTAATAATAATTTCACATTTTTGAAAAATGTATGGAGACAAACCTGACATAAGCCTGAAATGATTGTGTGAGGGAAACCTAGATAATAAAACAGGATAAACTAGGGACTGTACATATCCTGCAATAATTTCAACACAAAATTTATATAACTTGTAATACTTCATTTTCTAGATCTTTATGCAGTTCCTCGTTTAATCTAATTCTGTAACAATTAAAATCAAATTTTAAATATCTCTTCATCATTTTCTCTGCTTATAATACAGTAGACTCCGGCAAATCGGATACCCATCTCTGTGGGCCCCGCTGTAAATAACAGTTGTCAACTGAAACCAAAGTTTTTGACCTTGACCTTTGACCTAGGAAGTTGTACAAGCATTATGACACACCCTCTGGTGTTGGTTAATATACATGTCTAGTATAAAGTATAAAATTATAACGGTTCTCTAGATATAGAGCGGACACAATTTGTTACAGACGGACGGACAGACTGATCACTATAGGGCGACCCTCCACTAGACGAGGCCCTAATTAAATAGAAGCTGATAAAAACTAATACCTTTGTCAACTTTAATCTAATGATGACACTTGTCGTATATAAATTGCAGTGGGGCAGTACTAGTGAATAGTCTGTCGTTTCTGGCTTAGGTTTATCATACAATTATTTCCCATAGACCTATTGTCAATCACAAATTTTAGTAAAATAATTAATCAGGCCATGATTTACATATTTATCATAGACACAATGTCTACATTATTCAAATCTTTTATTTGGCACACTTACTTGCTGATAATATAATTTTCTAGGTTGCCGTGGTTTAGCATATAATAACAGATCTTTTAGGTTTCCTTCATATGTACATCTAATAGGATTACCAGGTCCTTCCCGATAACTGTAAATACAAAAATACATGTGTCACAAACCACCTCCTTTACAATAGAAATCACCAGTAAACAAATTTTGTTGCAAGGAGTCAATTCTAGTTAAATTTTGAAAAAACCGATGGCTGTAATTATCAAAATTGCTCAGTCAGAATTGTAATAAACATCAGGTAAAGTTTTCATAAAACTTTCATCTGAAAAATTTTCCTCAACAGCTATCAATTCTCAGACAATTCAACCAAGTGATCACATGATTGAAATTGAACAGGTAAGTACAGAAAATTTAACAAGCATTCTGAGAGTATTGCAGGGCAATACATAGTCCCCTACCTGTTAAGAATTAATTGTACTGGAACAAAATGCTAACTTGATCTATAGCTTGTCATGGTGTAAACTATATAACAAATATTAAGTCAATATCTTCAAGCATGACGAAAAAAAGTGCGGAAAACTAATAATTTAAGTGAATTTTCTAAGTCCAAGGACCGTAACTCTGCAAAAAAAATCATCAAACCGAAACAAAATTCAAACTTGGTCTGTAACTTGTCATGATAAAACTATATACCAATTATCAAATCAATATCTTCAAGCATGACGAAAAAAAGTGCGGAAAACTGATTATTTGAGTGAATTTTCTAAGTCCAAGGACCATAACTCTGCACAAAATCATCAGACCGGAACAAAATTCGAACTTGATCTGTAACTTGTCATGATAAAACAATGCACCAATTATTAAATCAATATCTTCAAGAATGACGAAAAAAAGAGCGGAAAACTGAATATTTGAGTGAATTTTCCAAGTCCAAGGACCATAACTCTGCACAAAATTATCAGACCGGAACAAAATTCGAATTTGATCTGTAACTTGTCATGATAAAACAATATACCAAATATCAAATCAATATCTTCAAGCATGAAGAAAAAAAGTGTGGAAAACTGATTTGCCGGACTGACAAACGGACAGACAGACAGACGGACGGAGTGCAAACCTAAAGTCCCCTTCGACTTCGTCGGTAGGGGACTAAAAATCAATAGTGCTACTCTCTGTCCAATGAAAAAGTGTTTAAATGTGATAGAGGTGGATAACGCAGCACTTAAACGGCCTGGTTAGAACACTTTGTTGTACAATATTTTTGTGCATGTACTGATTCTGTCATTGCAGCCAAATTATCTGTTTTATCAATACACAATATGATAGGGGCAAGGCATTCATGATTTTCTGAAAAATTTCATCGAGTGTTTGTGTAGTATGTTAAACATTGAAATAGGAGATTTTACCATAGAACATCTTCACAATTATGAATATAAAGCTAAATTTGGCCTTTATTTTTACACAACTGTTTGCTAAATAATTAATTCATTATACATCTTGGGGTAAAAAGAAATCATGAATTAATGTGTCATTATTTGATATTCAGATGCAGTCCAACATTTTCTAGTTGCATGCAAATTTAAAACCAATAAAAAAAAATACCCAATTTATGTATTTCTCAATATAAAGAAGCTTCAACCATACCTCTGAGGTTTGAAAAACTGTAGTAAATAAGGATCCGTTTGTAAATATGTTGCTACAGCATTGGCCATCTGTTCATAGTTCATTCTAAGAGACAGATCTAATGAGAATCCTGGATCATTTGGGATTGCTTTATCACAGAATATCACTTCTACTCTATAGTACAAGTCTCTAAAAAATAGTAACTGTAATATGAGTTTATAGTGAAAATGTTTAAATATTGAAATACTTATGACAAACAATATATTGCATTACATATTCAAAATATATAAACAAAAAACAGATGTACTGTGTAAGTTAATATCCCCACTATTACACTAGTATTAGTTGAACAGGGAGTTGATGAGCTATGGATGTTTAAATGTATAAGCTCTTTTTATAGTTCCTAGAATAATGCAATTTACTAAATAATTTTCATGGGAGAACAGATAGAGGTAAAGCAGTATAACCCTCACCCTCTTTCTCGGTGTGGGGTATAAATATGTGCCTACAATTATGCTATTGCACCTACTATAAAATGTGACATTGAATTTCCTCCAGTTATTTTTTCTAACATACTTCGGAAGTTTTAAAATTTTGCAGTTATATTGAACAAATGCATGTTGTTGCACAGTGCGTTTCAATATATCAGATGTATCTTAATTTAGCAACAGATTAACTTCACAAGTTCTTGTAGCAAAAATACAAATGTCATAAATATTTCTATTAAAAACAATTGTACAACACTTACTTGAAATAATCCCTAGCAGTAGGAAGGTCATACTGATGTATGTCCATCCCATCTTTTTGAAAGACAATAATATCACCATCCATAAGCTCTTCTAAAGATTTTTCTATAGGTAAATCATGACTTTCTATCCTCTCTACCATATTTGGTTTTACTTCCTGTAAAAAACACTATCTAAATACCAGCACAATCAAAAACATTAATTTTACAAATACCTTGAAATACGGCCTATTATCAAACACATCTAGATAACCATGTGACCACAGAAATTCAATCTTGAATGCCAAGTATATAAACTTTTAGAAATTTCAGTATTAAATTTCAGCAAACTGTAAAAATATTGTCAAATAAGAACAACATAATTCATAGAAGGTCAGACTGATTATTTTAGGTTCCAAAACCCCTGTTAATTTTTAACTTAAATGAATTAATTTAAATCTTCTGTTTTAAGTTTCAAAGAATACTATGAAACTCAGTTTTAGAGGCTGAATATACTATTATACATGATAATGCTGTGTTTCTAAAAATTTTCTTCCAAGTTGCAGTAAAAAACACAATTTCTTTTTCATAGTTTGTTTTTGTTTTTAGTTTCATTTATTATACACTAAAATAAAATGCTCCGCAGGGCGCAGCTTGATACGACCGCAGAGGTCGAACCCTGAACAGTTGGGGCAAGTATGGACACAACATTCAAGCTTGATACAACTCTGAATTTGGATTGTGATTAAATATTTCACACAGCATAGGTTTCTGACACAGAATGAATGTAGTCTAAGAACTAAATTTTAAATAGGACATTCACCTATTATGGTCCAATATCCAAAATCTAAATACATGGTTAGATTCAGCATATCAAAGAACCCCAAGAATTCAATTTTTGATGAAATCAAACAAAGTTTAATTTTGGACCCTTTTGACCCTCAATGTGGACAAAGTTGATAATGGGGCCCAAAAACCAAAAATCTAAATACATGGTTAGATTCAGCATATCAAAGAACCCCATATATTCAATTTTTGTTGAAATCAAACAAAGTTTAATTTTGGACCCCGATTTGGACCAACTTGAAAACTGGGCCCATAATCAAAAATCTCAATACATGTTTAGATTCAGCATATCAAAGAACCCTAAGAATTCCATTTTTGTTAAAATCAAACTAAGTTTAATTTTGGACCCTTTGGACCTTAATCTAGACCAATTTGAAAACGGAACCAAAAATTAAAAATCTAAATACACGGTTAGATTCGGCATATCAAAGAACCCCAATAATTCAATTTTTGATGAAATCAAACAAAGTTTAATTTTGGACCCTTTGGACCTCAATGTGGACCAATTTAAAAACAGGGCGCAAAATCAAAAAACTTAATACACGGTTAGAATCAGCATATTAAAGAACCCCAAGAATTCAAGAAAAAAAACCCATTGAAATTGGTCAAGAAATAACAATTTTAAACGAAGTATCTTCTTTTGCACAATACTGTGCAATTGAATATTTCTTGCTATTGCGCAATACTGTACATTTGACAATTTCTTGCTATTGCGCAATATTGTGCTATTGGATATTTCTTGCTATTGCACAATACTGTGCAATTGAAGATTTCTTGCTATTGCGCAATACTGTGCAATTGAAGATTTCTTGCTATTAATTGTGCAATACTGTGCAATTGAAAATTTCTTGCTATTGCACAATACTTATTATATAATAATTTACACATCCTGTTTGGTGTGTATCTCCTACCATATCATTATTATTTGCTTTTAAATATAAAACAGAAATAACCAACTTAAAATGGAAAATTTTAAAAGATAAAAAAAGAAAAAAAAGGAAACCCCCCCCCCCAATTTTTTGAACCCCCTTATGATTCATCACCCCCAAACTCAATCCCAGCCTTCCCTTTGTGGTATGGTACCTTGCAGTACAATTTCAGAGAGATCCATACACTTGAACACAAGTTATTGTCTGGAAACTAGAAAAATGCTTATTTTTGGCCCCTTTTTGGCCCCTTATTCCTAAATGTTTTGGGCAATTACCCCCAAACTCAATTCCAGCTTTCCCTTTGTGATATGGAACCTTGTAGTACAATTTCAGAAAGATCCATACACTTACACACAAGTTTTTATCATGAAACTAGAAAAAAGCTTGTTTTTTGCCCCTTTTTTGGCCCCTAATTCCTAATATTTTGAGGCAATTACCCCCAAAATCAATCCCAGCATTCCCTGTGTGATATGGAACCTTGTGGTATAATTTCAGAGAGATCCATACACTTGAACACAAGTTATTGTCTGGAAACTAGAAAAATGCTTATTTTTGGCCCCCTTTTGGCCCCTTATTCCTAAACGTTTTGGGCAATTACCCCCAAACTCAATTCCAGCTTTCCCTTTGTGATATGGAACCTTGTAGTACAATTTCAGAAAGATCCATACACTTACACACAAGTTATTGTCATGAAACTAGAAAAATGCTTGTTTCTTGCCCCTTTTTTGGCCCCTAATTCCTAATATTTTGAGGCAATTACCCCCAAAATCAATCCCAGCATTCCCTGTGTGATATGGAACCTTGTGGTACAATGTCAGAGAGATCCATACACTAACACACACGTTATGTCTGGAAGTTACAAAAATGCTTATTTTTGGCCCCTTTTTGGCCCCTAATTCCTTAACTGTTGGTACCATAACCCCCAAAATCAATCCCAACCTTCCTTTTGTGGTATTGAACCTTATGGTAAAATTTCATAGAGATCCATTCACTTAAACTAAAGTTAGAGTGCGAAAACCAATGTGTCTTCGGACGACGGCGACGAAGACACCGACGCCAACGTCATACCAATATACGACCACAAAAATTTTTTGCTGTCGTATAAAAATGGTTCAATAGTCAAAACATCCATAAAATATGATGTGTGAAGCTCTAATGAATATAGATATTTGTTGTGTATACATTTATTGTTTAAGTGAATAAATCAGTGTTAGTATTTAGTATGTATCAGACAAGTTACCTCAAACAGCAACAGTGGTGTACCAATTGGAAAGCCTGCTCTCCTACATAAATCTGGTAACAACTCCGCTGTAATAAACAACTTAAGTTGAATTGTGATCTGTATCTATTTGAGTAATTTCATTAAATATGCAACAATTCATTCATTATCTACAACTTTAATATGCATAATGAGCTAGGACAAGTATCAAGAACTTACCTCCCTATCAATTATACTTTAGTAAAATAATTATTCCAACCTTTTAGAAAAATTTTATCTCAATAACTTGTAGTGTTTTAAACAAATACTTTTGAATTCTTGTTGGTAATTTGACAATAGAAAGGGCAAGGAGCTCAATAATCAAACTTTGTCTGCATTTCTTAACAAATAGACAAAAAAAATATTTTAAAGGCAATTTTGAAAGAAATATGAAAAACAAATTAACAGATGCCAGCTATATACTAATACAACCACAAATGTTTGTGACTGTACAAAAACTAAAGGCTCTGTTTAAATGCAGACATTTACAAATTTGTTCACAAAAATATCTGTTCAAAAGCAAATTTGTGTCTTTAATCATTTAGGTAATCTAATCTATGTCATTTTAAGCAATTGCCAAATTTTCCTTGAACCGTCTTTATGGCTCTCTTTGGTTGTCTAACTTAAAGTTAGTGATTGTTCAGGCTACAAATGGAAAGGTTTGTTGGAAGACATAACCTGCTATTTATTGATATCTCCTATATATATATATATACCATTAAAACATTTATAGTGGCTAACAATGAATATACAATTGTACTAAAGTCAATCCAAAGGACTGTTTGACTTTACTGAAGAATGCAAGTTATTTTAGCTAAATATTAAATGACTACAACTAGTCAAGACAAAGAACAGCAATAAAAGTAGTATTACTTGTAAACATGGTTACTTCCCAATATATCTTTGAAAAGTTTCATTTACATGCAACTCATATACCTTTTACTCTTAATATTTATCAATTCTAACTTGAAATTTAAAGTCAGAAAACATGTTTGTTACCTGTTATATAACAGATAAAAAATCAACTAGGCTAATAAATAACAGATAAGATAAAATATCACAGAAAAAAGAAAAGATTCGGAGCTGTACATAATTGTTAACACTAATTTGTAAAGTACCTGTTTTAGCTGTTATTGGAACATATGTATGTCCACAAAAGGATATCGTTTTCCTCTTTGGATCGTACAGTTTAAGAAATATCAGAACATCACCTGAAGATTAAAAGATAATTTCAATAAACCATGAGTTTGTGCATCATATTTCTAGAATTTAAATCATCATAAAAATGTTGTGTGTTGTATGCATTGACAATTTTTCTTATATGCATAATTCATTTATACAACATGATCCATTATATATTTTCATATGCATAATTCATTAATAAAACACTATCCATTAGATATGTTTTATATGCATAATTCATTTATTCAACATGATCCATTAGATATTTTTATATGCATAATTCATTTATACAACAATATCCATTTGATATGTTTTATATGCATAAATCATTTAAACAACATGATCCATTAGATATTTTTATATGCATAATTCATTTATACAACAATATCCATTAGATATCTTTTATATGCATAAATCATTTAAACATGATTCATTAAATATTTTTATATGCATAATTCATTTATACAACACTATCCTTTAGATATTTTTTATATGCATAACTCAGTTTTACAACATGATCCATTAGATATGTTTTATATGCTTTATACAGCATGATCCATAAAATATGTTTTATATGCATATTACAACAGTGTATGCACTTGTATAAAAAACCATAATAAGTTGTCAAATTAAATATTATGCAACTACAAGCATAGTTTGTTAATTTTTCATTGATTTAACATTTCCTACAGCTTTCTGATTTTTTTTCCAAAGTCGCTTTGGCTATACATACTATCTTTATCAAACTGTGGCAGTTCTTTTAAACCACTTTCAGGGTTCAATGTTTCTACAAATACTGTCCATGGATTTTCATTATCAGCAACATCAAGAACCTGTAATACAAGCATACAGACATAAATACATTTTATGTCATCATCAGTAGCTTTAGTACACTTTTGTTGTTATCAATGTTAAGCTATGTGATAATTAAAGTTCTTTTTGTACAAAGCAATATTTCCATATCATTCAATAACCCCTATTATATAAATATGACAATAAAAATGTTGAATTTTTGCTTTTCTTAATATGCAAATCTTTTTTTCTTCATTCATTCTTTTTTATCTTTTTAAAATCACAATGCACAAGTACAATTCGCAACTATTTTTCAATGATAAAAATAGACTAAACACACAATGTATAATCATTGCTGGAATTTCACTTACAGATTTATTAAGATTAGCTTCTAAATCCAGTAAAGTAGGTCGGTAGGTTTGATTCTGACGAAATTGGAATGGCCAAGGCCGTATCTGTGTAACCGGGTATTTCTGTAAATAATAACGTAAAACCAATATTAATTTTTGTAGGATGGCTTTGTTCTAATAATATTGTATATCACATAGTCAAAAGATCTAAAATTGAATCTACTCAATAAATTCTAATAAAACATATCTTAAAGATGTTGCATTCATCCACCAAATATAATAAAGCCACTTGAAGAAAATACCTTGACGTCCAATGTAGGTCATAAAAGTTCTAAACAAAATGTCAAATTATAAGATAAAAAAGTTCTGGAACACAAAGTTGTATAGAACAAGAAAAATTTGGGATAAAACAATATGTCTCCCTTCCTCAAAATGCTAAACACCACGAAATATAATAATTATCACACCACAAAATGCTGGTAAAGCTTTTACGCAAGTCTGATTTATTTAAATACACAAGTCTGATTGCTGAATCAAAGAATGTTGATTAATGCAAGTTATCCCCTGTTTGCAATTCTGATGACACACAATGCTATACCTTAAAACTTACCATATTATCTGCTAACATGTGCATAAATTCTAAAACTGTGGCTGACTTTTTAACTTTAAAGTTTCTGAAATAGACCAAATAGTCTAGTCATACTTAAATACATATTTACATAACATTTTAGATTCTGCCATTTTTAACACTTTGCTATAAAAATAATTGCAGGATTGCAAAACTTAATATAAATTCTTATACATATAACAATAATTAATCATTTCATCATAAACTGTTTGCTATCTTGTCAGCTTTAACAAATTTAAATCTTTCTAAAGGTTTGGTTACTTCACACATAATTATTACTAAATATATAACAATTCCAATATTTTCAAAAGCAAACTTACCTGAAGTTAATTTTATCACCATCAAAGAGATCATTTCCCTGATGTCCATTAAAATTATCATCAGTCACAACCTGAATGTTCATATATAAATGTGCTTCTGTTCGCTCTTTCCTCTTCTGTGCTTCTAGTCTCCTATAATAAAAAAAAAACTTGAGATAAAATAATATGTACATATGGCGTAAGAAAAAACAGCACATTATAATTATGAATTATAATTATAACTTGTTGTGCCAAACCTGAAACGGACATTAAACGTGGGTTTGCCATTTTAACATAATTCAGAAAAAAATTGAAGTTTTTGCGATCTTTTTGACCTGACCTTTTTCCTTGAACAGCCACATTTCCCGTCACTAAAGTGACATGGTGAATAAGTACTATGAAAACAAACCTACTTTAATATCTTCTCATTACAATCAAGGTTAATTAGTTGTCTGAGAGTTGAAATTTACCTGTTCAGGTGACAGGTAAACTAATATGTACCGGAGTGACATTGATCGGTCTATTTAAAGTTATTTTCATAAATTTTAGCGGTTTGCATTTAATTAATTTAGTCAAAAAGATTTAGATTATCAAAAATACTTATATAAATATGATTTGATTAAAAATTTAAAAAGACAGTTATAAAGGTTTTAAGCGAAAAATTGTAAGAACCATGTTGTTTAAACTAGTACACACATGTGCACAGGTGTGAGATTTAATTATGCATCAGAATTCTTCAAAAATGCTAAAATTATCCTTGATACCTTTATCTAACATTTATTTTCTTGAAGAAATATCGTTGAAAGAGCTACTTGAACTCAATCGTGCCTTGTAAATGACACGGATGTTACGTTTCCGTCTGTGGTCCGTGTTTTAACATTGTTAAGTCAACATCCAGTATAAGAAAATGTGCCTTCTAAAAACAAAAGTAAAGTTTTTGACAACGTAATTTTGCCCAAATAAAGATTCTAAGGCAGATATTAGTACGCTATATGACACTTCGAATGATGCACTGTCAATCTAACAGTTTATGTCAGTACATCGAATTTGTATCAAAAGTCAAGTTTAAAATCGTTTTTATGTCAATCATTGTTTATATGATGCCCAACTGATAACCATGATTTCCTTTTGTTACTTAGTCTTAAGGGATTAAAATCGAAATAAGACAAAAAAAATGTCCGGCTGGCACAAATATTTATTGGAAACCCTGCATAAAACAACACAATGCAGATACGTTTCTTATTGTACAATTAGTGAGAATCAGAATATCAAAACAACCACTTAAACTATAGTAACTGATAGACTACACAAATAGAATGTTGAATAAAATGCTTTGTTGAGCACAGCTGGATACGACCGCAGAGGTCCAACCCTAACCAGTTGGGGTGAAAATGGACACAATATTCGCGCTTGATACAGGTCTGAATTTGTATTGTAATTGAATATTTGACACATAATAGGTTTCTGACACTGAATAACTGTAGTCAAAGAACTAAGAATTGGTTATATGATTTGAATTTATATTCAATTTTTTGCTTTTATGCAATACACTATGCTGTTGCGAATTGACCCCCCCCCCCCCCCAACAAAAAACAAAAAAAAATGTACCCCCCTTATTTTTTGCTTTTGTGAAATACACTATGCTGTTGCGTATTGACCCCCGACCCCCCCCCCCCCCTCTTTTTTTTGCAAATTTAAAAAAAAAAAAATTCTGAAATCTGAAAGAAAAAAAAAAAATGCCCCCCACAAGTTGTCCATTAACCAGGAAACCCTTGTTTTCCCCCTTTTTTGCCCCTAATTCCTAAACAGTTTGAGCCATAACCCCCCAAAGCCAATCCTAACCATCCCTTTGTGGTATGGAAACTTGTGGTATAATTTCAGAGAACAAGTTATAGTCTGGAAGTTACATAAATGCTTATTTTTGGCCCCTTTTTGGCCCCTAATTCCTTAACTGTTGGTACCATAACCCCCAAAATCAATCCCAACCTTTCTTTTGTGGTATTGAACCTTATGGTAAAATTTCATAGAGAGCCATTTACTTAAACTAAAATTATTGTGCGAAATCCAATGCGTCTTCGGACGACGACGCCAATGTCAAAAATTTTTGCGGTCATATAATAACAACAGTAGTTCATCTACAGAAAGCACTAGCCTGTCAACTCTTAAGGTTGCGAGTTCAAACCCTGCTCTTGGCGAGGTGTGTTAGACTCAGACCTTAATTGATGAGGATTGCCAGTTGTCCTGCAGAAGGTTCTCACTTTAAAGATTATTCCTAAAATGATTGATCATTACAGTTTCAATTCTCAATTCACTAATAACATTTCAACTCTGCCATAGATGTCATATTTCCACTATGTCAATTTGAATAATGACCAGTATTGTCATGTTACTTTAAACTTATAAAGTTGATGTGACTTTGGAATCATTTAACTGGAGATGCTTACCATTTTGACGCACATGCTCATAATCCATTTAGAATTCATGCCATTCTGTTTATTTTCACTCCAATGTTTGCATACTTAATTCCCAAATTATGAGATATTTAAACTTCGGTATATGTGTACTATATTTATATCTTTTACTGAAATGTTAATTTATATATATCTATTACTGAAATGTTTACGTCTATTACTGAAATGTTGACATCTATTTACTGAAATGTTTACATCTATAACTGAAATGTTTATATCTATTACTGAAATGTTTATATCTATTACTGAAATGTTTATAAATGAAATGTTCAAATAACACAATGCAGGCAAGGCTCTGCTAGAACATCAATAACTTAACATCATGAAGGCTCAGCTAGAACATCAATAACTTAACATCATGAAGGTTCAGCAACAATTGTCTTTGGTGAACAAAAGCCAAATGATTGTGGCTAAAAAACAATATTTATATTCAGAAGGTATGTCTGAAAGTAAAACTGCTGTATCAAACATTTAGCACAGCAGATATAACCACTACTTTCACATTTATATCCCACCTGTGCAAAGGTCAACCAATCATTCATAGAAAGGTAACTGATAGAAGGTGTTATCAATGTTTAAATACCTTTCTTCAGCTAATCTTTCAACCAATGATTCAGGAATGTCTTTTTCATTCACGCTTACAAGTAAATCATCTGGAAAAAAGCAAAAGTTCACCATTACAAGGGAATAACTATTCATACAAAATAATATGTATATACACAATATATTGGCATCAAAACTTTTGTTCTACACTAAAACAACATTTGCATGCATTATACTATCTAAACAGGAAGTAGGTGTCTTAACTGATCCAGAGACCGTTCTTTAGAAAAGTGCACCAAAAAATTTGTTTTCATTCAGCATGTTGGAAATCTCAAAGTATGGGCAAACAGGAAGTAGATACAAAAAACTCTCACAAGTTACAATTCATTACTGTCAAACTACTGATGAAATCATTCTGTTCTGTAGTTCATGAGAAAAGTATGACAAAAATAAGTTTTTTCATTTATCATAATATCAGCAAACATAAAGTAAGTGTCTGACAGATGGATCAATACTGTGGATTCCTTTTATTTTCGTGGGTACCAATTTTTGTGCATTCAGATAAATAAGTATTTTCCGGGATATTTGATTTCACGTTTTTCAAAAATTCTGCAGAAATAACTCTGACATCAAAGAAACATAATTGACATAATTGTGAAAATTCATGGTCAAATTAATGCCTGCCAGTCTGTCTATTTACTTACTCATACAGGATTCTCTTATATACACCAACATATATGCATTTGTACAATGTTTTACATTCATTTCTTCATCCTGACCACCAAAATTGTTATCTATTCCTTCAGACTTTGTACACCGTGAAACTACATCATCATCAAATTTGCACCACTGAAAATAAAATAAATTCTAAAATATTCTAAAACTGACCACAAATGTTAATTATATCATTCTGGTCAACATGAGTTTGTCCTAACATTCCCTTTATAGGAGTCATTAGAGTTACATCACTAATAACTTTCAACAAAATAATGAATGTTCAATGTCCCTTTGCTATCAGTTTTGTTTTAGGTGACATTATAATAACAGATCTAACCACTAATCTATACATTCAATAGAAAACAGCTAAAACCAAAAAAGGCAAAAAATACAGATCTAAAAGTGCTCACAGCTAATGAAAGCTAGTTCAAAGCAAATTTAAACCAATAAATATAACATGCTTTCCAGGACTAAAACTGATTAAGTAATGTTAGCATATTTTCCATTTAATGGCAGGATTATGAAAATCCAATCAAGTTTTTAAATGAAACCAATACTGTTGAAATGTAAATATTATACCTCAATTACACATTTGTCAGAGCTTTACAATAAAACCTATTTGGCTATGTTTTTACTAACAATACAAGTTTAGATTCAAATAAAAGTTGCCAGAAACTAATTGTTTTGGACAAAGCAGCAGCATTAGACTCTGCAATGTTTTACCAGGAGCATAAATAATCAGTTTTATCCTCTTAATCAACAGTGATAGCAAATTATCAATTCCTAGAAGCACAACATTAAAATTTGATTGATGCAATAAAATGGCATAGAGTGGACACTGCTATTTTCAATAATGACTTCCTAAAAGCTTTGCACAGGCTATTTCATAAATAATTTGAGAATAGACATTTATGCACATTTAAGAAGTTTTGAGAGATGAGTTAGTTGTATTTGCTTTATATTTGATCACATACCTTGCCATCTCCTTTAGGATTAATATATACAACATAATGCCCCCCATGGTTGTCACCACTATGTACAAGCACTGCATGTAATACATAATTGGCAGGTGTTTTCTCTTTCTTATTTTGGTATTTATCTAGACACAGTCTCTCTGGAAATTCAAATCTGAAAATATACAATTATTAAATAAGTTTGATGTTGAGATTGGGAGGTATACAGTTAGTTATATAAGAAGAAAGATATGTACTTGCTGCAATATGCAAAGTGTTGAAGTTGAGTACCATTTTGCTTTAGTGTGTCCTGCATAGAGATTAGTAAGGCTGCATTTCTAACCAAAATACTATTGTTATGGCCAAATATGACAAAATTAAGGCATTTGTATAAACACAAAATATAGATCATTAGTTCAAAAAAATATGTAATTCACATCTAATTAGTTGTTTAGAATGTTGTTCTCCGACGTTTAGTATGTGACACAATGTCAATATGTTTGTGTTGCTATAGCATGTAACTTCTTCTTAGCCATAAGAATTTATTCATTTAATGACTGAAAACTTCTATGCAGTCTCACATATCATACTTTTACAGTTAGATAATAGAACACCTAGATCTAAACACTTAACTTACTGAACAACTAACATCCAAAATCCTTATTCTTAAATTGCCAAATACTTAAAACTTTTTCAAGGAACCGATAGAAGCTGGCATTGCTTGAACTGTAGAATTTGAATTCAATTTTTATGTCTCCACAATTCCCTGCAAAAAGATTCTTCATTGTAAAGTTTCTGAAAACTTAACTCGAACAAGGTACTGCAATTCTATATGTTGAATCAAATTAATTTTAATATCATTCATGAGTAACAAGCTACCTTACTATGAAATAAATAGAAGAATGCCTGCATCAAGAAATTGATATGTGAAAATAACACCATCATGACATAAATTATAGAAAGCTGTTTTCAAGCACTGAATATTTTACCACAAAATAATGTACATGTACAGATGGAAAATGTTTCAATTTCTAACTAAATATTCAATATCCACATCTTACTTGACATCTATACCTTCCAATACATTATCATTCAAATTATAAAATCTCTGTACACAAACATAAACCTTACTTTTCATTAATTTTAACATAGGCATCTGCCATTGGATCGTACATAAATCGGAGAAGATGAAGATGAAGAATTGGTGGAAAGCTTACAAAGATAACACCTTTCTCAGCTTCCTGCAAAATAAAGAATAAACACAGGTAAAAATGGTATAAGAAGAGTCTATGTTTCATTTTTAACTAAATATATATAAAAGATGAAAGCTATAGGTATAAATGGAAAATACTAGACATTACAATGTATGAACATCCAACAATTCATTATCAATCAATTATTGAAGGTTAAGTTAACAACTAACATGAAAGTTAAACATTATTCAATAAAAATGCAGTACATAGAAAATATGATTGTTTTGTTCCAAGATTATAAAATATCATAAATTTATACAGTCAAACCTGCCTTAACAGTCACCTTGTTTCAGCGGTCACCTGTCTCTAACAAAACGTTCAAACCCTCCCTAATGTTTTCTTCATGTAATTTATATTATTTCAGCGGTCAGCGTTCATCTTATTTTCAAACGAAATCCTCATTTTAACTTTCAACAACGGTCATTTTAATGTTTTTAACTACCAAAAATCTGTATGACGAAAACTATAAGTTGTCAAATCGATGTCAAAATGAAAATCCAAATCTGTTAGCAACCAAGATTGCGCAATAGAAGGTAAATTTTGAATTCGCCTTGTTCCCCTCTTTCTAGTTTCCATAGAAAACAGTATCAGGGACTTATTTCTCCAAGAATATTAACATATTTTGAATTTTTCTTAAAATTTACAGTGCCGGGATCCGCCATTTTTTATTTCACTGCTTGCAAGTACGATAACACTAAAACAATTTGACCTGGTCTTGGCCTCGGGCGATGTCGTAATCAGATTTTTGAGGAACCTCATTTCAAAGGTCACCTCTCTTGAGCGGTCACTATTGATACTTCCCAAGAGTGACAGCTTAAAACAGGTTTGACTGTATGTGAAGTTTCGCAACAGGAATTGTGTGCAAGTAAAATGCATGCTAAATAGGGCATTTACAAGATTTAAAATTGACTGCCAATTCTAAACTAGATGAGACAAATGTAGCTATTAACAGATATTTGTTACATTTAAGGAATAACAGAACTTTATTAGAAGCAAGTTTTTGTCAATGTCAAATCCTCAACTGATGGTGGCAACTCTTTTAATACAATACTGTTATTTCTATTCTAATACATTCGGCTATAGTAATGCATCCGTTGAGTTTAAAAAAGGGTATACCATCTTACCTGAAGGCCATAATCCCCAGCATCATATTTGTTATCACCCTCCAGAGATTCTTGTTTCACGTAGTCATCAAATGATTCATAAACTGAAATTTGGAATGAAACATTTCATTACAGATTAACATGATCTTCTTGCCTCTTTTGCTTCAAAAACAGAACCTTGATGTTTTTCAAATAGAGGATATTTCTTAAGAGTTACACTTATATGTCATCCATTTTGATTTAGCTTCTTGCGCTTCTTCCGACACTTGTCACTACTGTTTAAAAGAAATGTACCAAAAAGGCATTTCCATACTCAATATTATTGAACATCTAATCTTGCTGACATTTTGTTTTAGCCTTTGAAGAGTTTTCATCTGATGTCTTTATATACTTGTCACTACAGCTTAAAGGAATTGTACAGATCAGGAATACTCAGAATTGTCTACAAATAAGGATACCCAACCTGCCTCTGACATTTGTAAACATTAACATTAAATGGTTATTTAACTTAATATGTGGTACTGAACATCAAGCTAGAGTCCAGTTTTATTAGTGACACACTTTCTATTGTCTGTCTACTTCATCATGTGTTATTGATGTTTGCTATTTTGACAGCTTATGAAATGTTAGAATTTTCAAATTATATTAGTATTAAGTGAGTTGTCTAATAAATCATAAAATTTTGCAATTCCTTCTATATGATTATTTTAATATTGAAATATTAAAATGTCATATTGTATTCATGCTTTCCTTACCATTCTTTTTTCCTTTGACATTTAGCTGAATATCATAAAATGCCTCTTCCTTCTGAGAGCAATATTCAACATGCTTACATCTGATGTAAGACTAAAACAAAATATAAACATTTATAAATCTTAAAAATCTGTGTCTACTTTCACGTGTTGTACCAGATAAGGAAAAATGAAACTGGACATATGTGCCATTAAGCACAGAATTAAATGAGATTTTTAACCTCCTTTGATTACAGAAACAGATTCTATTACTGAATTCAGGCTTGTATAGTCTGCGGTTTTATTCTCCAAAATTGAACCTGCCAGACAGGGGAGCGGACTATAGAGTATTATAAGCAAGATATAAGAGAAAAATTCCAATTTTGCGAGGTTTGTTTACATTCCCCCATGTTTGTTATTGAAATTGTAGAGGGCGCTCTTATCATTTTCAAAACTAATAATTTACCTAATCCATATTAATATGCAATTTTTATTCAATATCAAATATAAACTGATAAATTACAAAATTAAATGCTTCATTACAAATTTCTCGTTTCTTTTCACTGCATTGCATAAAATAAACTGGAATCTGCTTGAATTTAACGGAAAGAAAAAAGTGTATGAGTCAGCCGGGAACCAGCTTATGCACTACAAAATGTAATCGGTTATTTGTTCCGTTTTGGTGTTTCATACTGATGCATGTATTTTGTTTTAGCTTAAGATCCTTCAAACATTTATGTGATGGATATGTTAAACATTATTTTACATAAGGATGGAACTGTTTTACTTTCAAAGTCATATTCTAGTGATATCTTTTAAGTACAGATTTTCTGTACACTCTCACCATATTTATTTCATTTACACGTGCAATTTCGAACTTCCAGTTTAAACAAACACAAAGTTTCTCAATTGGGTTTTCTTGTGATTTTGACTTATTTTAAAGTGTTCTAGGATCATTTACCAGCATTTTCAACTTCAATTTGGGGGTGCGGACAATGTATCAGTGCGAACTATACAAGGCTGAATATGGTATAAATAAATTTGCATTAAAATCATTTCAAGCCAATGAAATTGTTAAAACATATGGCATATTCATTTCAAGAAAAAAGTAATTATAATCACTTAAATTGTGCAAAGTATCAGTAACAGATTGTATATATGGAATGAAAAACACTAAATAAAAGATACAGAAATGGAATGGTCTTGGTCTTTGTATGTGCAGCATCATATTCCTTTTTAAAATAACAATGCATGGATGCCAATTCATCTACAAATCTTTCATGAATCTTTCTTCTAAAACAGAACTCTTAGGAAACAATTTTTGTTTAACATTTAAGCATTATTTATTTATTTTTAATCAGCCTCTTTCATTAAACATATGAATGTATCATCAACATACATGAACACTGTAGTAGTATACTAACCAACATCTTGCCCTCAAAAAGCCGTGGTATTGTTCCATCCACCACTGTATCCTTCATTTTACTTTCCATATTTTCCAATAACTGGAAGAAAAATTCATAAATTTTTTTCTTCAAAAATGACTGCACTATTGTACTTTCTTACTTATAGAAATGATGAGGCTGTTTCCTTGTAAAAATAATGATGTTTTGTAAAAAGTTATGAGCATTTCATTACAAAACACATTTTGTCTCAAATTCCAACCAAATTAATTTATTTCTACATGTTATTTATTCCCTAAAGAAAAGTTATAATCACTTCATTACAGAACACATTTTGGTAGCCAAATTCCAAACAATTTATTTATTTAACTGTACTCTTAGTATTGCTACAGTTATCATAATATATGAATTATTTTTTAAATCCTTGGAGACCTTCCAGTGACTATAAAAATGTTGAACAGCAATTATACAACTACTCTTTGATTTGATACAAGGTAATTTTTCATTCAAATTGTTGTATAATTCATAACAACTCCAATTCCTTTTTTCACAATTCCACTTTTAATTGCTCTCAAGCTGTAGTATTGCCTACATCCTGAAAATTAATAAATAAAACATGAAAATTTAAAGAGGGCTGTAACAGTATGAATACGGTTCATTAAGTATTAAAATTTAAGACAAATGCTGTACTTACCACTCTACACAATTCTTGTACATCATGCTGCATAAATGTGTCAAAAGTTTCCCACCTAAAATACACATGTATAGACATAATCATCAAGCGATTGATTAAAATTCTTCTAATGCCATTTCTAACTTAATTATTAAACTGATTTTCCGTCTCTTAAACATTTTAAAATCCACAACTAATACATGATAAAAATTCACTTTAAGCTATTGTCTATTCAGATAAAATATTAAGTTTCAGAGACAATGTTAATTAAGTACATTGAAATGACTAACCCATGCAGACAAATTTGATATTCTGATAAAATAAACGAGTGAGCAACATAATATCATTGATGACCATAGGTCACATGTAGGCCTAGGCTAGTTTAAATTTCCATTACTCAATGAATGATCTTTAGCTTTCCAAAAAGTTTTTATGCTTTTTTTCTTCTGAAATCATGACTGTTCAATATACAACAAGCTTACCCAAATGACTTAGTGAGTTTCTTTGTTCCTACAGGTTTATCACCAAACTGCAGCTCATAGAATACTCTCTGTAAGGACAATGGAACACTCTTCTCTGGGTCATCACTCTCTGTTGGCATCAAATAGGTGGCCTTAAATAAATATATTTAACTGGTAAACAACATGCATGAAAATGCAGTGATCAAACCTGAAGATTAGGGACTTATTTGGCAAAAACTCACATAAAAATTCTGGATTGGCACAGGTTTTGTTTAGTAAAGAGCTGTGCCATGAGCATATGATATGCCCGTCGCCAAGTGGAAAGTTTTCAACAATTTTTCAAATAATAAAGTTCTATAACTCCGCAATGTAATTTCAGAAATTTATAATAAAATAAAATGCTCCACAGGGCGCAGCTTGATACGACCGCAGAGGTCGAACCCTGAACAGTTGGGGCAAGTATGGACACAACATTAAAGCTTGATACAGCTTTGCATTTGGATTGTGATTAAATATTTGACACAGCATAGGTTTCTGACACAGAATGAATGTGGTCTAAGAACTTAAAAATTTTAAATTGGACATTCACGGTTCACCTATTATGGTCCAATATCCAAAATCTAAATACATGGTTAGATTCAGCATATCAAAGAACCCCAAGAATTCAATTTTTGATGAAATCAAACAAAGTTTAATTTTGGACCATTTGGACCTCAATGTGGACCAATTTAAAAACGGGGCCCAAAATCCCAAAACTAAATACACGGTTAGATTCAGCATATTAAAGAACCCCAAGAATTCAAGAATAAAACCCCATTGAAATTGGTCAAGAAATAAGCAATTTATACGAAGTATCTTCTTTTGCACAATACTGTGCAATTAAATATTTCTTGCTATTGCGCAATACTGTACAATTGACAATTTCTTGCTATTGCGCAATATTGTGCTATTGGATATTTCTTGCTATTGCGCAATACTGTGCAATTGAAGATTTCTTGCTATTGTGCAATACTGTGCAATTGAAAATTTCTTGCTATTGCACAATACTTATTATATAATTATTTACACATCCTGTTTGGTGTGTATCTCCTACCATATCATTATTATTTGCTTTTAAATATAAATCAGAAATAACCAACTTAAAATGGAAAATTTTAAAAGAAAAAAAAAAGGAAAAAAAAAAAAAAATCCCCCCCCAATTTTTTGAACCCCCTTATGATTCATCACCCCCAAACTCAATCCCAGCCTTCCCTTTGTGGTATGGTACCTTGCAGTATAATTTCAGAGAGATCCATACACTTGAACACAAGTTATTGTCTGGAAACTAGAAAAATGTGTTTTTTGGCCCCTTTTTGGCCCCAAATTCCCAAACGTTTAGGGCAATTACCCCCAAACTCAAACCCAGCTTTCCCTTTGTGATATGGAACCTTGTAGTACAATTTCAGAAAGATTCATACACTTACACACAAGTTATTGTCCTGAAACTAGAAAAATGCTTGTTTTTTGCCCCTTTTTGGCCCCTAATTCCTAAAATATTGAGGCAATTACCCCCATCATCAATCCCAGCCTTCCCTTTGTGGTATGGTACCTTGTAGTACAATTTCAGAGAGATCCATACACTTGAACACAAGTTATTGTCTGGAAACTAGAAAAATTCGTAAAGGTTCCGCGGAACCCAGTGTCTCGCCTACTTTTGCTGTTAATCGCAGGCTCAACAAAAATGAGGAAAAAAATCAATAAAAATATTCCTTTAGATGCTATCTTTTGATTGTAAGAAGCTTCTGTCAAAGTTTGGTATAAATCCAGGATAGTTTATGAATCTAATAAATGTTTTAAAAACTTTAACTGCAGACTGTATTTAATGTTAACTGGAAGAAAAACTAAGTCCATTTATAAGTAAAATACGGATAAACAGGTACAAATTTTAACAAAATTTCCTTCTAGATACTAGCTTTTGATCATAAACAAGCTTCTGTCCAAATTTGGTACAAATCCAGGATAGTTGAAGAAAGTTATTAAAATTTTAAAAACTTTAACCACAGAGTGAATGTATTGTTTCCTGGCAGAAAAACTAAGTCCATTTATAAGTAAAATACGAAAAAAAATGAAATTTTTTTTTAACAAATTTACTTCTGGATACTATCTTATGATCATAAACAAGCTTCTGTCCAAGTTTGGTACAAATCCAGGATAGTTTAAGAAAGTTATTAAAATTTTAAAAACTTTAACCACAGAGTGAATGTATTGTTTCCTGGCAGAAAAACTAAGTCCATTTATAAGTAAAATACGGAAAAAATGAAATTTTTTTTTTAACAAATTTACTTCTGGATACTATCTTATGATCATAAACAAGCTTCTGTCCAAGTTTGGTACAAATCCAGGATAGTTTAAGAAAGTTATTAAAATTTTAAAAACTTTAACCACAGAGTGAATGTAATGTTTCCTGGCAGAAAAACTAAGTCCATTTACAAGTAAAATACGGAAAAACAGGAATTTCATTTTTACCAAATTTACTTCTGGATACTATCTTATGATCATAAAAAAGCTTCTGTCCAAGTTTGGTAGAAATCCAGGATAGTTTAAGAAAGGTATTAAAATTTCAAAAACTTTAACCACAGAGTGAATATTTGTGGACGCCGACGAAATGTAGGATCGCTATGTCTCGCTTTTTCGACTAAAGTCGAAGGCTCGACAAAAATGCTTATTTATGGCCCCTTTTTGGCCCCCAATTCCTAAACGTTTCGGCAATTACCCCCAAATTCAATTCCAGCTTTCCCTTTGTGATATGGAACCTTGTAGTACAATTTCAGAAAGATCCATAGACTTACACACAAGTTATTGTCATGAAACTAGAAAAATGCTTGTTTTTTGCCCCTTTTTTGGCCCCTAATTCCTAAAATTTTGAGGCAATTACCCCAAAAATCAATCCCAGCATTCCTTTTGTGATATGGAACCTTGTGGTACAATGTCAGAGAGATCCATACTCTAACACACAAGTTATGTCTGGAAGTTACAAGAATGCTTATTTTTGGCCCCTAATTCCTTTACTGTTGGTACCATAACCCCCAAAATCAATCCCAACCTTCCTTTTGTGGTATTAAACCTTGTGGTAAAATTTCATAGAGATACATTCACTTAAACTAAAGTTAGAGTGCGAAAAACCAATGTGTCTTCGGACGACGACGCCAACGTCATACCAATATACGACCACAAAAATTTTTTTGCGGTCGTATAACAAAAGGGAGCTTATTTCAATAGATATAAACAAGTCACTAAAGTTTCATCATAACTGAAGTTTTTGAGTTATTGTCCCAAATACTGGAAAATCCCCCCTTTTTTATAAATAAAGTCCCAATATTCCAAAACGTAAAATCAGAAATTTTTAAAAATCAAAAAGGAAATTACGTCAATATATATAAATAATTCACCAAAGTTTCATGAAAATTGTTCAAAGCATTTTTGAGTTGTAGTCAGAAAACTCCCCCATTTTTCATGAATAAAATCCACTAACTCGAAAACGTAAAATTTAAAATTTATAAAAACCGAAAGCGAGCTTACGTCAATAGATATAAACAGTTCACCAAAGTTTAATGAAAATTGGTGAAAGCTTTTTTTGAATTATTGTCCGACATGTTGACGACGGACGGACAATGGTATACCATAATACGTCCCGTAAACAGGCGTATAAAGACAATCAAAATATTGTTCATATTAACCTTTCCTATACATTTTATCCAAACTCCTCAAGTACTGTAAGGGTGAGAGCTCTTTCAAAGCAGATTGAAAACCACACCATAATAAGACAAGTTATACAGAAGACTTTTCTTCAAAGGAAGACTGAAATTTTAGAAAAAGTATAATACACAAAACACATTTATAATTTTTCTTTGTCCAAAAGCTGAAACATATAGTTCAGGATACAAAGAAAGGATAATAAATGGAAGGAAGTTACCTTTCTTAGTTTGTTAGTAAAATAAAGTGTCTGCAACAGAGAATTCATGTAACATGTTGCTCCTTGATTCTTCAATCCAACAAAACCAGTATGCTTCTTTGAGTCCCAACTGGAATAAGACAAAAAAGCTCAATGAAAATAATCAATTTCCTTCATATTCATGAAAATCTTAATAAGTTATTCCCTGGAGGTTATTTTTATAACAGAAAGATTTTAATAATTCCTACTTCTTTTCAGGGAATATCAAATTTACCTTTGAGTGATGAGTAATGAATCAAGGTCATATGACAGGTGTCTGTTATGTAAATACAGCATAAGTGTTAAAATATAATTTACCTGACTCCATGAGGTGCATCAGCTTTCACATATACTTCTATTGTAATTTTGTCATCCTTCACAAAACCTTTGGCTGGATCCATTAATTCCTGTTTTAAAATTTTGCAAATAAGTAATGCAAGATTTATAAGATGTAAATTGTAAACTGCTCAATATTATTTGGATACAAAGTCATACTAGAATTTTGTGTTGTATGTTACATTTTTTTAAACATAATTTAATTTGAATTAACTGTATAGAAATTCTGTATCATTAAAGGCTTGATTCTTAACCTTCATTTTTTCATGTCTAAGAACTCTCATTTATTTAAAAAATAAAATTATTTTGATTTTGAAATAAGGGCTGTTCAATTAAAACATACTTGGGACCCAGGAATAGCACTTTGGATGCATGAAATTTACAAAGTGTTGTTTTCATATTTTTTTGAAAGAGAGTAACCACTCATACACACAATTTTGGACATTGTAAACTTCTACAACATAACTTTTAACACCCACCAATAGTGGCAAACTCAAGTTGCCATGAATGTTTTTTTGGAGCTAACCTAACATTAATTTTGCATTGAAACAATTCAAAATTCAAATTCAAATGATAAATGTTAAAATATTTACATATAGCATATTAAGCTTTTTTCTTGTTTTTTTTTTTTTTATTTTATCTTTTATACATCAAGTGGGCCATATATCATATAACTTATGGGAAAAGCCCGAAAATAAGCATAATATACTATGATGTCATGAAAATTAACAAAGAATGTTTTGAAGAAAAAAAAGATAAAATATTCATTTCATTTTCTGTGTAATTAAGAATAAAGCAATTGCATTTCTAATTATCAAACTCTGTATGTATGTAGTGTGAATACAACAGTGATTCATAAAAATGGCTTAAAATAAATTTTGTATCATAGTAAAAAAAAACAAAAAACTTTTTTTTTATTAGTTTATAGATCATTGTAATATAGCAAATAAGTCAAGTCACTTTGGGCTAAATAGTAGTCATCTCCCTTACTGTTAACTAACAAATTTTCAGAAGCAATTTATTTTCTCCAATACAAAATAATGTCAATATAAATGGTCACAAATTGTTGAATTTAGATATTCCCCTATAGGAATACCTCAACACAATTGGAATATAAGTAACAAAAATGTGAAATTGTTTAGAAATAGCTGAATGTGGAAAAAGTATTCACGAAAAATAAGTTGATTTACAGTACATAGACATTAGCTTTGTTTCAGTCCATAAAACTCTCTATGATATATATATATATATCTATCTGACACTGAGTTTGTAATATTTTGTTTCAAAATGATATTTAGTGAAAGTAATATTTAACACTTTCTGCCAGAGGGCTTTAGACTGAGTGTTGATATCAGTCGAGGGATGATAACAGGTCAGATGTGGAAAAAGGAATGTCTTAATCTATTTATCACTTGAGAAACAAAACTGTCTAAATAAATTGCCGTAGCCATTACTTACATTCCATGAAACAAAATGACTGTATCCCCAATCATTCTCTTTACTATAGAATAAATGCTGGATTTCTACAACAACAAATATTAAAGTTTTTTTTTACACAAAAACATGTCTCCATACTTTCCTCTTATCAAAGTTCAGACATGGAGTTAACTATTGTAAAATGTGATAAATCAATTTACAAATACACAAAACAAATTAAAATGTAATCAATTACATTGCATTGTTTTTATCATAATCATGAAAACTGGGAGTCAATGGCAAACTAATTATAAATATTATTTTCTCGTTTGAATTGTTTTGCATTTGTCATTTCGAGGCCTTTTATAGCTGACTATGCGGTATGGGTTTTACTCATTGTTGAAGGCTGTACGGTGACCAATAGTTGTCAATTTCTGTGTCATTTGGTCTCTTGTGGAGAGTTGACTCATTGGCAAGCATACCACATCTTCTTATTTTTATATTAACTTACTTCTTGTAAAAGGCTCTGCATCATTGTGTGTAACAATTTTAATAGCTGCTGTTGCATTACATGACCATGACCTAAAAAAATATTTATACATAATAAATGTGATTTGTTAAAGTAGAAGCTAGAATATCAACTGTTTCATTAATCACAGAAATACATCATCATTTCAAATTGGAGTTTTATATGCTGTCTTTGCTACAGAAGTATCTGATTTATGTTAAACATTATCTAAACTTGAACACGAATATGAGCCCATACGACACCATGCCCTGCTTGAACTATCCTATTTCCACATTGATGTGAAGTCAACTTCATGGTTAACTATATTACTCTAAAACTCAAGTTTTATACAGATAGACAGACAGACAAAAAGACCAGAAGACATAGTAAAAATATAAATGGAAATCATAATTCCAAATAGGACACATTCATTCCACTGTTAAATAAAATAAAGATTCTTACGTTGAATCAGATTCCCCATTGCATTGCAGAAACAAACCAAGGGTCTTTTGGTTGTGTCTCTCAGGGTTCTGGCTCCAGCGAGGCATTGCAAGGACTTTCCTGTAAAGATGACATGTAATGTATGAACTTATGATATTGCAGCTTTTTGTATAAAGCAATCTGTTGCAGATATTTAAACATATTTTTTGTAGTAATAAATGCAGGGGAAAAAATTATAAATCATTGTTTAAATTTATAAATATCATTTGATATTTCAATTTCATAAAAAAAAAAAAACACATTCGTTTCTCTATTATTATTATACATTTTCCTAAGATTTTTTTCCAATTTCAACATGTTCAGGGGTAAGAACAATTGAATAGTTCTTATTTTATATTATGCAGAAGTTTGATCTGCAAAATAAATATAAATATAAGAATTCTTACCAAGGAAGATTTCTAACCATACATGATGGACTCAAAATGCTATCTTTCAGTTTGCTTATATTTTCAATTGTATAGGTAAATGTTGTTTCAGCTCTACTTTCATCTGAAAATATACAAGATTACATTTTCATCATGTTCATAGGACCTAAAATCAAAGAGTTTGGGAGCTCTGAGGGAAAAGACAGCCATTGTTTCTATTTTTTTTGGGTATCTTTTGATAGTCTTCTTACATAGAACATAAATGTAACAAGCATTCTGAGAGTATTGCATGGCAATACATAGTCCCCTACCGGGTAAAAATTCATTATACAGGAACAAAAAGCTAACTTGTTCTATAACTTGTCATGGTGTAAACAATTAGAAAATATCAAGTCAATATCTTCAAGCAGGACTAAAAACAGTGTGGAAAACTGATTAAATGAGTGAATTTTACAAGTCCAAGGACCATAACTCTGCACAAAATTATCAGACTGAAACAAAATTTCGAAATTGATCTGTATAACTTGTCATGATAAAACTATAAACCAATTATCAATCAATATCTTCAAGCATGATGAAAAAAAGTGTGAAAACACTATAACATTAGATATAATTAATAGTTCTCGAAGATTAGATATGATGTAATACAGTGTATATCTACTTTCAAATTATAATCAAATATAATTAATAGTTCCAAATATTTTTTCTTTTCTTTTGTCACATTTTCAAATTATAATCAAATATAACTAATAGTTCCAAATATTTTTTCTTTTCTTTTGTCACAAACTAATATAGATTTGTAACTTTTCTATAAAATGAAACTAATATAAAATAGTAACTTATCTATAAAATGAAAGTAATATAGATTTTTAACTTTTCTATAAAATGTCAACAATTTTTATCTAAACAATGTAATGTAATATATACATTAATAAAAATAGATTATTATCTAATTTAAGGATTTCACTTCATAATTTTTTTTATATATATATATATATAGCATTCAGAAAATTAGTTTATACAAATTGAAAATAACATACAAACCTGCCAAAAATTTTTCAAATAATTTACCAAAGAATGTCTTTTAAAAAATGAGTTATCTCCCTTTGTACAGAAATATGGTTTAACATAGTACTCTAACATTAGATATGGTCCAGAGTTATGGTCCATAACTCTGGACTAAATCATCAGACCGGAACAAAATTCGAACTTGATCTATAACTTGTCATGGAAAAACTATATACCAAATATCAAATCAATATCTTCAAGAACGAAAAAAAAAGTGTGGAAAGCTGATTTACCGGACTGACGGACGGACAGACAGACGGACAGATTGCAAACCTAAAGTCCCCTTCCACTTCGTCGGTAGGGGACTAATAAATTAGTTTAGTAATAATCTTAATTAAAGCATCTTGTTTATCATGTTTATAGTAGGTACAGTTAAGCAAGCCATTGTGAAATATTTTGAATTTCAATATGGTGGACGAGGTCAGATTATTTAGTCTTTGTGAAGGCAACTTTATTTATAATCACAAATAACTAACTTGATAAAATGCAACTATTAACTAAAATGACAACAAGAGTGCACATGCTGAAATGTCTCATCTGCTTTACTTGATTAAATTAAATTTCATACCATACACCAAATAAAATTGGCCTATTGCATATACTCAGATACTGTAATCCAAAGGGCCAGAAAAACAGACCTGATTGCCAAAATTGAACATTGACTAAATTAATGAACCATGAAAAGGTCAAGGTCTGATGAACCTTACGAGACAACAACAAATATAGTTGACCAATGACTTACAGTATTTGATAAATGGACAAAACCATGAAAATTTGCCAGACAGACATGTCTACCTAACAATCATTCCATGGTATATACCAAATAAAGTGGCCCTATAGCTTATAGTATCATAGATATAGCCCAAACAGGAAAGACTTAAAACATTGTCCAAAGAATCCAAAAAAAAAGGTCAAGGTCAGATGAAACCAGCAGGGATGGGGTAATTGAAAATGTAATGGTAATTAAGTGTAATGCATTACAATTTTTCATGTAATTGAATGTAATGTGTAATTGAGCATTTTTTTAATTACATGTAATGGTAATTTAATTACAATGAAAAAAGCGTGTAATGCTAAATTACTTTTGAATTACATTTCAATTACATGTACTTTTATGGCGTTAATGATAAGAAATTATGGTAATATAGTATTTAATTGACATACAGAAATGTTTGCTTAATAGTCTTATAACTTTAAAACATGTGAGAATCATATATTAGTGTTGTTCAGTTTTTAAGAAAGATCTTTATCTAAATAGATTGATAACATGTATATATACATTCCATCAATACATGTATTTATGTTCAAACAAATGTGTAACTCTTTCTTAGACAGTTCATCTAGAATTACTGCACAAAATCATTTTGTCGAATTAGTATACACAAAAGGATTATAGAAATAAAAATTATCAGCTGTATAAACAAACAGCAATTAATCAGATTAAAATGTGTAATAAAACAGCCTAGGGACAATGCCACTATTACATGTATTTTATCTAATTAGCAAAATAGTGCTGATATTTAGACATTACACACTGTTTGTACTAAAAATAGTTTCAATATTGTGACAAGCATACTTTTGAATATTTGTAAAGTAAAAAAACATGAAGACATTTTTAATTTATTCATAATTTTTTTTATTTATATCATGTTGAACAAGAAATGATTGTAACAGGATGCTGTTACGAAGTCTCCCAAACGAAGCTCCCATAATTCGTAATTCCCAGGGTCGCCTGACATTGGGCAACGTCCAGTGAAAATTGGTTTGGTCCAGTTAAGTTATATGCATTAGTGATGCCTGGGGACTAACCTTGTATATCATTCAAATCATCTTGGCATGACAAACCAGAATATATATGGTTTAGGGGTGGGGATCTCGACCATTTACAAGATACTAGAACATTGGGGGTGGGGAGGAACCCCTGGGGACTGGCCCTATACGTCATTCAAATGTTCATTACATGACGAACAGGAATATATATGGTTTAGGGGTGGGGACCTTGACCACTTAGAAGATATTAGAACTTTCTTAAATGGCAGGGGGTGGGGGTGACCCCTGGGGACTAACCCTGTATTTCATTTGATGTGCTTTATCATGACAAACCAGAATATATATGGTTTAGGGGTGGGGATCTCAACCATTTACAAGATATTAGAACTTTCTAAAATGGCAGGGGGTCGGGATGACCCCTGGGGACTAACCCTGTATATCATTCAAACCATCTTAGCATGACAAACCAGAATATATATGGTTTAGGGGTGGGGATCTTGACCACTTACAAGATATTAGAACTTTCTTAAATGGCAGGGGGTGGTGGTGACCCCTGGGGACTAACCCTGTATTTCATTTGATGTGCTTTATCATGACAAACCAGAATATATATGGTTTAGGGGTGGGGATCTCGACCATTTACAAGATATTAGAACTTTCAAAAATGGCAGGGGGTCGGGATGACCCCTGGGGACTAACCCTGTATATCATTCAAACCATCTTAGCATGACAAACCAGAATATATATGGTTTAGGGGTGGGGATCTTGACCACTTAGAAGATATTAGAACTTTCTTAAATGGCAGGGGGTGGGGGTGACCCCTGGGGACTAACCCTGTATTTCATTTAATGGGCTTTATCATTTAGAACATTTTCAATTAAAAAGATTGTGTCTATCACAAACGGTTTTCAATTTATAATCATTTGAAAATTTTAAAAAATAAAATCCCATAGGGTTCTATAGTAAAACCCTCTTTTCTTTTTGCCCCTCAAAGTACCCCTTTATAAACCCCATTGCACAAACAAAACCCTGATTGCACCACTAGACATGTTAGTCTAACATATTGTGAAACCCTAAGTTAATCTGACAAGCGGTTTTGGAGAACAGGTGCGGACAAGTTCAAATTTAAAAGCGGCGGAAGAAGAAGAAGAAGAAGAAGAAGAAGAAGAAGAATAATAATAATAATAAGAACTGAGCAAAAACAATAAGTCTTCCCAAACTTCGTTTGGGAGACTTAATTAAATGACTTCATTTCTGAGTTGTCAAAATACCCCTTAATTTATTGGCAAGTTGATAGGAACACATTCCCTCTTCCATCAACACATCTTATGATCTAGCAATATTGGTCATATCAGCTCTTGTCCAAACAAAGTATTCGGACCAGAGAGATGTAGACTAAATGACAAAACATTAAAACTTCTTATGATGATCAAATGCAATGCTAAAACTATGTTGTAAGCTTACATGAATATTTTACACATGCTATATATACATGATATATATTGTAAACAATGTTTAAAAAAATATGATAAAATGTAATGTGTAATTTAATTAATTACTTTAGTAAAGTAATTGTAATTTAATTAATTACATTTCAAAAACTGTGTAATGGTAATTAGTGTAATTGATCATTTTTGCAATGTAATGTGTAATTTAATTAATTACATTCCAATGTAATTGACCCCAAGTCTGGAACCAGTCAGATGGACAAATACACCTTACATTCATTCCATACACCAAATACAGCTAATCTTTTGCTTATAGTATCTGAGAAACAGACCAAACCAAAATAAACTGCTTCGCTGAGCGCAGCTGGATACGCCCCCCCCCCTTTAAAAGTCTTAAAATAGAAAATGACATACATAATCATGGCTAAAAAATATTCCTTAATCAGCATTTTTATATAGTAACATTTAAAAAAAAATTTGCGGTCGTATAAAAATAAATTGACAGCTAATCACCTCAAGACAATACAACATTTCTTTATACATAATTTAAAAGCAGTGTAAGGGAGGTAATCCAAACATAACATTGTACTGTTTTTTAATTGTCCATTTACCAGGAAACCCTTGTTTTTCCCCTTTTTTTGCTCCTAATTCCTAAATGGTTTGAGCCATAACCCCCCAAAGCCAATCCTAACTATCCCTTTGCGGTATGGAAACTTGTGGTATAATTTCAGAGAGATCCATAAACCTTTCCACAAGTTATTCTCTGGAAACTAGAAAGATGCTTATTTGGGCCCCTTTTTGGCCCCTAATTCCTAAACTGTTAGGGCTATATCCCCCAAAATCAATCCCAACCTTCCTTTTGTGGTTATAAACCTTGTGTTTAAGTGTCATAGATTTCAATTTACATTTACTAAAGTTGTTGTCCGGAAACCAAATGTCTTCGAACGACGCTGACAACGACATGATACCAATATACGACAAATTTTGCGGTCGTGTAAAAATGTGTCTTCCAATTTCTTTTATATACGTCTATTCCAGGTAAAGATGTACATAATTTGGAAGCAAAAATTTGCCACCAGAAGTGAAAATCATATATTGTTTTTCTGCCTTTTACCTGTATTGGACTGGGCCGAAAAGCAATATAATATTTACTCATGATTTATGTCAACAGGGGGAGGTCAACAGTATAACACATGCTGATTTATCTGTATAATGACTATTTGCTCATTTCATTTAATAAATATAAATATTACATGAGGAACAAAGTTGCATTCATACAAATATTCAATGAGGTACGAAATGGTAAGGGTACAAAATGATACTTTAATGCATGACAAGAAAACAACGCCACCTATGTCACAATTACAGTCCGTTAACTTTTTGCTTTGCACAAGTAGCACATGAAGATAGTTCTGTGTTTCGTGAAGAAACTTCATTAATATTTATGTATTTTAGACAAATACTGATTTCATAATCATACACGATTTCTGCGAATAATTGTAATACTAATGAGTACAGGATATCCGTTTTTCTAGGAAGCGTGGAATTCCCAACATGATGTCACTAGCTGGGTATATTTGGAATATTTCGTAAATACAGATTTTTCATGATTGTAAAAGAAACATATATATAGTGAAAGGGAGAGCTCAAGATACGATAATTTCACAAGAAACAGAAGGGAAATGTGTAGCACAATGTTTAAAGTCAATCTGTTAATCTCCTTCTCATCAAATCAGTAGGAAATTTTGAGTTGTTTCTAACTATAAAATACAAAATGGTTTACGTGAGAGACTTGGAAAGTAGAATGTCTAGCCAACCCTATAGGGAATTGGTGGATTAAAGCTGTCTTTTCCCAATAAAACTGCTTTTGCCATAATCATAAGGATAAACATAGTTACAATAACTTATCATCCATGAGGACCTCATATAGCAGTTGTTTTTATAGGTGAAGTGCATGCAAAATTTTGATTCAATCATTTGATTTGTATTCTTTGAAATTTTGTCAGAGGCAAGAATTTTGATGCATGTCAATGCTGATTAGTGATAAATACCATTACCTATGTTGAAGTTAAGAATATTTATGGTCCAAGGTGTTGGAAAGGAAGGCAGTTTTCATAAAATTGGCAGAAACACAGTATTGTGAGTCCCTATACAAATATAAAACATAAAACAACACAGATCTTTGACAAGTTTCTGACATTTACGATTATGGTTACCTTCTTCCATATCTTCCTCCTGGTTATTAGCTCCCTTTTCATTGTCTATGTCTCCATTTACTGGAATCATGTTGGCATCCTCTCCCCTCTCCTGGTCCTCCTCTGTAAATTAAGAAAAGAAATATCAGAAAAATAATTACATATAACATGTATAAAAGATTTTACAAAACTTTGCCAGCCTTGTCTGTACCAAAGATTGTTTGACTGGACTTCCACTACTGTAATTCTGAAGTTCTTTTGGTTAAACTGTGCCATGTACAAATGTATGACTGCTTTTCTGTCTGTAAATAATTGTATCATACATTTAAATTTGGACAACAGAAATTCATATCATCAGTATTCATTTAAGTATATTTAAAGAGAATTTTATTGAATAGTCATAGCATATTGAAATAAAGATGCCAAAATCCAAAGGATTAGAAGCGTGGAGATGTGGTGGATGCACACATGACAAAATCATCAAAATGTTTACAGACTGAGACCCTTAGCCTATCATTCCTAATAATTTGGTAAAGTTTGAAGTTAATCATGCAAAGCATACTGGAGTTATTGGACAACACGTGTCCCTATTTTCGACATTTAAAGTCCTATAATTCTGGAATTACAAAAATTTCAATAAGTATAGACCCTAGTTAACATTTAAACAAATTGGATTGTGAAATACACACAAAACCTACAAAGGTTCTCTTCAGTTAATATACAAACATGATATAATCAATAAATATAAATACATGTAGAACCTAATTCTACCATCATTCATAATATAGTCCGTTTGACTTCTATAAATCTTCAAAAAATAATTCTTAAAAATTCATTTTTATAAATAAACATTTTTTTTCTTGATGTATGTTAATGCATGATATATACGAACTCTTACTATGAATATCCTAATTTTGGGCCAATAATAAAAAAAGTTACCCATTAGGTCTCTATGTTACTTCTATTTTTTTTATATAAAATATTTGATGGAGTAAGTATGAATAGTGTAACAGCCTTCCATTCAAAACAAAAACATTATTTTTGAAGATTTATAGAAGTCAAACGGACTATACATCATTAAATATTTCCATACACCAAATATAGTTGACCTACTGCATATAGTATAAGGAAAACAGACCAAAACACAAAAACTTAACATTGAGCAATGAACCGTGAAAATGAGGTCAAGGTCAAATAAAACTTGCCAGACTGACATGAACATCGTAAAATATTTCCATACAGTTGACCTATTGCATACAGTATTAGAAAAACAGACAAAAACACAAAAACTAAACTATGACCACTGAACCATGAAAATGAGGTCAAGGTCAGATGACACCTGTCAGTTGGACATGTACACCTTACTATCATTACATACACCAAATATAGTAGACCTATTGCTTATAGTATCTCAGATATGGACTTGACCACGAAAACTTAACCTTGTTCACTGATCCATGAAATAAGGTCGAGGTCAAGTGAAAACTGTCTGACGGGCATGAGGACCTTGCAAGGTACGCACATACCAAATATAGTTATCCTATTACTTATAATAAGAGAGAATTTAACATTCAAAAAAATCTGAACTTTTTTTACAAGTAGTCACTAAACCATGAAAATGAGGTCAAGGACATTGGACATGTGACTGATGGAAACTTCGTAACATGAGGCATCTATATACAAAGTATGAAGCATCCAGGTCTTCCACCTTCTAAAATATAAAGCTTTTAAAAAGTAAGCTAACGCCGCCGCCGCAGCCACCAGATCACTATCTCTATGTTGAGCTTTCTGTGACAAAAGTCGCAGGCTCGACAAAAACCGGAACTAACAAACAAGCCCAAAAGTTCCAACGGAACTTATCAACCAGTCACAAAGTTCCATTTGGAGAATTGATGCAAAGAACCACATGAGGAGGGAGGTATTCTTCCCTCTCTTGAGGGTACTATGAATACCAAATTTGCATGATAATGTAACTTATTCCGTTTTATGTGAGCTATGAAATACAACTTAAATTTTGCATATTTGTCCCCAAAGAAACCCCTTTCAGTGCGTTGGGTATTCTTGTAAATTAATGATTTGCTCTTATATATACTGATACTCATTCTTCCCCCTCTTTCTACAAAAAGGACGAAATATGGTATATTCAGAACGATGTAACTAGTTGTTCTGTTCCGCCATAACTATTCAACTAGCTACATTGCTCCGGGACTTTTCAACTAGCTACTTTTTTCCAGAACTTTTCGACTGCACTTGGAATAAAACAACTAGTTGGAAACATCGGAACGAAATAACTAGTTGAAAAGTTCCGCCGGAACAAAGTAACTGATGGAACATAGTGGCTGTTACATTGACACACGACAGCACAAAATACTGATTATGTACAGACAATTGACTTCATTATGAAGAATCTTTTCAGCAAAGGCTATCGATAATTAAGATTTATAATCAAAGTTTTCTTTAATATATCACTAAAATAAAGAACTTGACATTCAGTAAAACATGCCTGTATCATTGTGTATATTCATTATGGATTACACATGCGTGCAAGTGCTTCTTTCCTCTTTTTGACAAGTTCCAGATTAGAAGCTTTATTTTGAAAAGTGAATTACTACCAAGCCCAATAAAAGAGAAAAACATTTATTACTCATTTAAAACCACTTTTACAAGTATGATTCCCAAAAACATTGATTTAGTGCCATTTGATAGCTAGAATAAAATTCAACACAATTTGCAACATTTACCATAGTTTCATGATGAAAACGTAGTTGAAAGAAAGAAGAAAACCATAATAAACTCATTAAAAAACATTGTTGTATTTGAATTCTGTAAGAAATGGTAAATTCAGATGCAATATGTCTTTGCCTGTAGTTACTTTTGATGCGAAAAATAACACAACTGGCTGCCATTGATCATATTCACTTCTTCCGTGTATAATCCTCAGAAGAAGGAGTACACCCAAATAAAGAAAGATAACTCAATTTTTATTTTTTTCTAGTATTGTGATACTTATTCAAGATCTGTCTACATACTTCTGACTTAAGGACTTATAAGTTTAGGTCTTTTGAGTTATGGGCAAAGCTAAGAGGGTCTTGGTAGCAGGATGGGTAGGGGGCTTAGGTCATTTTCTGTGTGCTCTATTTTGTATACACATGTTCTCTATTCTGTATATTATACCCAATTTTTTCTCTTTTCTTCATTTAATTGCCCATTTTTTCTATTCTTTATTTTTTAATTTAAAAACATTTCCTCTATTCTGTAGCATATAAAAACCATAAGCTAATTATAAGGACAGGAACATTGACCAATAGAGTCATCATGTAATTCCTATTAGTCCCTGTTTGGAGACATAAACAATCAAATAAAAACATGCAATATGTATGAAGCCTCAAAATCCTAGCTATTGTTCTTTCACAGAAAGGAAGAATAAACATAATCATGATAATATGATAAAGCAAGACATGACATGACAAATCATCACTTAAAGTTAAATAATGGGCAGTGCATAAGAAATTTAAATTGAACATGGTTTCAATTTTGGTAGAGGAAATCAAGAATCAGACTGCTTCTAAAGTTGGCTCCTAGTTTTTCCAAACTGGCGACAAAATATAGCTGCTGGCAATTTTTCTGTCTCCAACTTTTTTGGAGCCAGAGCAGCCCCTGAATCTGACCAAAAAATTCTGGTTTTTCAATAATAAAAGTAGCATGTTGAAATCTTTTTTATGTGTGCCAGACAATGGATCTTACATACTAGTCCACCTTGTCAGACTCTTAGAGTTTTTGCCAGACCTACACATTTTTATATAAATTGAGGCATTTTAACTTGATAAAAAACAGGACTGCAATGAAGTTGTCTAGATGAATAGACAAGTTTGTAATCACGAAGTCAAGGTTTGCTCAACACAATTAACAAACAGGATAAATGTCATATCCCTGACTTTTTCAAGAACTGATAGATCAAAATTGTTTACCAGACAAAGGGTTTGACACGCATGACAATGTAAATCAGACCGGGACATCTTTTGTCAAATGGCTACACATGAAAAAATTTCCAGACCCTTGTCCTTGATACTGTTGCTTTTAATATATAACCTTCATCATTAGCTGTGGCAATAGACCTTATCGCTATTTGTGAATCAGCGACAATTGAACTATAAATGTCATACAACACTCGCTTTTCCTTGTGGCATTGCCATGACAATCTCTATCGTTCAAATTTATGGTAATATCTGTGATGTAAAGCAATGGCACACTAATAGCAATAAGGTGTATGGACCATTGCTCTTATACTTCAGTTGGTAGAGAGTTGGCTTACTGAACAAGATGACCAAGGTATCGTCCATAGGCTGCAACTATATAAATTTCATTTTTGCGAGGATAATCATGCTCTGTTAGATAATTTACAAAGCAATTATAATAGTAGTATTAACTTATCAGCAAGGTGTGGCAATACCTTGGATCAATTAATAAATATTTCATATACACACCAGTTTTAAGATGGTTTTCCATCTCAACATCGTGTTCAACATTTTCATTTGTAAGTGTTTTTCCGTCTTTCACATGGTTCATTGCGGTGTGATTTGAAGTGACCGTTTTGTTGCGATCTCGCCCTGGAGTTGACGGACTTTTTGGCGGAACGGTCACCTTCTGCTTGCTTATAACCCGCCCTATGTCTGCAAAATTATCCCCATTGAAGGGGAATCACAACAGGCATATTCTTTCAGTAAAATTCATGAATGATATGCCGATATTGCGAATGAAAATAAACAAGATGGCGGTAGAAAGTGGGGCAACATGGGATAGCTATTTGTAATTTTCAATTTTGCCTGAAAATAGTTGTTACCATTGTTACTGCTGACTTTTGCGGTCATTTTCTGTCTTCAGTGATTACTGTTTTTATGCATCACAACATAAGATGATAAAGGCGGGTGATTTGTCTTCGACAGTATTTCCGGCGCGTGAATTCGTTACTATTCGGTTATTTTCGTCATAATTGTTTTTATGGCATCTGCGCAAACTCGTTTCTATTTCCGGTACGATTAAAAAAGTTGATTGCCAGCTGAGAAAGAAAGAATGTTATAAATTTGCATTTTTCTATCGAGATTTTAGTTTTTTAAACGTTGTTACTATGGCAAACGAGGAAAAAGATGACGGTAGTTTGTCCCCAGACCATTGGATGAATAGTTTTGAAGAGGAATGTTTAGAGGAACTTGATTCTGAAGCCAATATGGAGGATTGTCTGCGAACTCAACGAGAATACGCACAACAAAAACTTTGGTTACAGTTTCAAAATTCTGCGACCTCAGTGGCACAGCTTTATAAAGGTTAGCGGATGGGAATAAAATAAATGCTTTCAAAGATAAAAAATTCTTCCCGATTACGTAATTAAATTCTAAAAATAGTTCAAAGTCAGCAAAAATCATGAACCCATATATAATAATAATATAATAATAATAAATACTTTATTTAAACTAGGATAACATCAGTTTAATACAATCCTGTGCTATTGATTGTCTTCTAACTTTTAATATCAAACTTTTATATAGAATTATACATTTTGAACTTTAATACAATAATTTTATTGTTAATTAAAGATACCCCCAAGGGCAGTTTAATTACAAACAATTTTAACTGCAATGATTATTGTTGATTCTTGGTGGTTGGTAATAACAAAAAAACACAGAAACCCACACATAATGCAAGCAAGTCAGCATTAATTTATTGGAGGATTATACAATGTATCCCTTGATTCATGTATAATCCACCATCAGACATATAATGAGGCGAGAAAGACAACTCAGTTAATAAGTCAAGTCAATTCGGTCTTTAATACCAACTCAGACAAAGTATGAAAGGACATATTTTTATATTAAAAATGATTTAATGTGTGTCTACGACGAAAAAGACAAATCTTACTGTGTCTGAAGATAAGTCTGACTGTCAATAAGTAATTATGGACCTTTAAAAAACCAACTCAGACATAGTATAAAAGGTACAAATATATGTATAGTAACTTCTTACTATATACATTCTTGGTCTAAATGCTATCAACCACACAATAAATAACTGTTATGACATGTGCTTATATGAGGAGTGAGTTTTTCAAAAGTTATTGTTATGATGATTTAGAAAATTGAAAAGGAAAACTGTAAAAAATGTATCATATTTGTTGCCTTTTAGTTTGCTTGATGTGTTGCAACAGGTCTAATGACAATCAAATTTAGATTAAATCCTTAAATTGCTCCTGTTCTGATATGTCAGAATGGGAGCAATTAAAGGATTTAATTTTAATTGGATTGGTCCAATTAAGTCTGTGTTTCATATGAAAGTAATGTTAAATGCTTCTTTATTAATAAAACAATGTCAAATATTTTTATTATGACTTAAAATATCTTCTTGTGTACAAAATGTACATGTTGAAACATTGAAAACTATCTAAACTCTGAACTCTAATGGAAAAGAGGATTGTTCCATGATTTTCTAACTTGCTACAATTTGTATTTTCCCAATCTGGACGGTTCAAAGGTCAACCTGTCAATCAATTTACTAGTGTGGAAAATCAAAGGCTAACATGCATGTAATTCAGTGGTTGTCATTTGTTGCTGTATATCATATTTGTTTTTCGTTCATTATTTTGTACATAAATCAGGCCGTTAGTTTTCTCATTTGAATTGTTTTACATTTGTCATTTCGTGGCCTTTTATAGCTGACTATGCGGTATGGGTTTTACCAAGGATCCCCAAATTTTTTCACACAATTTCGGTCATTTTGAGATGTCTTAAAAGTTGGTGCCCTTTTTCAAATTATTGATATCGAATGGTCACTACATTCATAGCATCAACAAACTTGTATTGGCTGTTTCATTGCATTTACTTCGTGAATTTTCCTACCATTTTACTCAAAACGTTCAAGAACAGTTTAGGGAGGGCAACAGTTTTGAAATGATTTTAATGACTCAAAATGGTTAATTACTCAGACATCGCAAACGTTTCTTTCGATTTTAGACGAAATTTAAACTAGACGTTTTGCGCTAATTCTAAAGTACGATTGATTCCAGATTCATTTCCGTGATTCGTTTTTGTCTCGCCCTGACTGAGTCAAAAAGCGAGACATAGGTATGCTGTTTCTGGCGGCGGCGTCAACAATGTATTAGTTTGTGATAAGGTCTAGTTCATGGTGAACCACTAGTGGTAGGTCAATGATATTTGGTATGCAGTTGTATTAGCATTGGCACATCTCATTACCATGGAGATTATTTGGCCCGCCCCCTCAGTCAAGGTCTATTGACTTTGAAACTTTGCTTAGTTTACATGTATAAGTTTGTGATTAGGTCAATTTATGGGAAACCACTAATGGTAGGTCAACGATATTTGGTATGCAGTTGTATTAGCATAAGCACATCTCATTATCAGGGAGATTATTTGGCCCCACCCCCTCAGTCAAGGTCTATTTAGTTTACATGTATTAGTTTGTGATTAGGTCAGTTTATGGGGAAGTTCAGTGACCTATAGTTGTTAATTTCTGTGTCATTTGGTCTCTTGTTGAGAGTTTTCTCATTGGCAATCATACCACATCTTCTTATATTTGCAGAAGAAAATGTAGATAAATGAATATACAAACAGAATTTTGTTCCTGGATGTAATTTACAAAAAAAATTGATTTTTAATTTGTTTTAGTTGTAAAAGAATAATTGTCCTGTTATAATTTAAACCATTCCCCCCACCCAGGACCGTCTTCAAATATGAATGGTCATGCTCTATAATCGTGAGAACTTTATTGGGATGGTACATTCTGTATCTAAAGTCAGTTATTCTCTATATAATACATACAAAGGATAACTGGAAATATCGTACAGCACAAAAAACCATAAACGCTGGACGCAACCGATAAAAAACAAACAAACCTCTTCTATAAACAACACATGGTCTATATATATATATATATATACATGTAGGTTACACACAATAAACGGATGACTGAAATGTCTTTTTCAACTTTCCTAATTTGAGAAAAAATAGCTTTCCCCCAAAACTTAGCCAAAAGTGTTAAGCCTTACAATTTACAAGTTGGGGGTGTTTAACTACCTTGACTACCCATGAGTCTTGCATGGTCCATTAAAGTGGAGTTTAGTTTATAAAAAAGGATAATTGGAATTTGGAATAATGTTGAAATCTGGAAACTTGATTAGAAATAATGAAAAACTAACCCAACTGTGCGCATTGGTTAGTTAGTTTTTCACTGATATTTCAGTAAAAACTAACCCCCTTTTCCATGTGTGCATGGCTAACTGTTTTTGTTTGGATTAGTTTTCAATTCATCTGACATACATTTCTTATCTATTTTCCAGAATTCAAAATTGTTCCAGATTCAAATAATTCTTTGTTTATACAGTCTGCACCAAAATCTTTTCCAACATCTAGTCCATAGACCAACATTCCAACATTTTTCTTGTGTGGCTGATCAAAGTTTTGCAAAAAATTACTAGTCCGAATAAATTTTTACTAGTCTGGGGCATCGGACTAGTGGCTTATGGTGCAGACTTTAATTCTTTATATAATAGTTATTGAAGAACTGGTCATTATCATGATATATGGACTGCCCACAGGACAGTCGTATTGACTAAGACAGCGATAATGACTGAGTCGTAGGCGAGGTCATTATCGTTGTCGCAGTCAATACCACTGTCCTACGGGCAGTCCATGTATCACGATAATGACCAGTTCTTCAATAACTATAATGTTAATTTCATTGAGGAACCATGTTTTTAAAAATTCTCATAAATTCAAATTTTTCAAAGCAAACTCGAGTTATTGTACGATTTCTATAGGAAAGAGTGAAGACCAGTCATAGTGATAATTATAAGTCACTGCCATTCATTTAAGTGCAATTTTTCAGTATATGAATAGTATAAATCATGCAATTACTGCCTAGTAAATTGATGCCTTAGTCCTTCAAAGTCTGACAAAGATGTATAGCTAGTAATATGCATACATCCTTGGTCCCTTGCTGTTACCCAAAATAATGTTGATTTTCATCTCACGCAAAAGTGACTTAAGCCCTCAAAATCCTAGCTTAAACCCTGATGAATACAGAATAAAGATTTCTATAATTTTATAATTCTTGTTGCTGAGTTGTTTGTCTCTATCAACATCGGAAAGTAGGGCAAAACGATCATTTGAGTTGTCTGTAGCAGACATGCCTTCCAGTTCAGCCATGTTCCAAACGTCTGAATTGCGATTGCGTTATATTAAAGGGACATCACTCTAAACAGAGAAACCACGCCCCACTGGTCATTAACATGTAAAAGTCCGTTAACGACTTGTTTTCTGGTCCGTTTTTTTCTGTTAAAGACAGATGGAATTTTTTACTAAAATATAAAGAATGTCATGTGGCCCCTTTTTATCCAATAAGAGAAGCTAATTCTTAACCGATATGAAATAAAGTATGATATATATACATTTTTTGTATAGTATGATATATATACATTTTTTGTATAGTATGATATATATACATTTTTTTGTACATGTGTAGTATCAAAATTTCTGCAGAATATTCACAAGATATGTACATTTCTATTTACAGATCGAATTCAAGGTCACTCTTTATGGATTCCATTTCAGAATGCTGCTTCTTCAGTTACTCATTTGTACAAAGGTTTGTATTTTATTGCCTTTAGTTAACAGTTGCCTTAAAGTAATATGAAACAAGTTTCTTGTAATTTTTATGATGTTGTAATTATTGACCCAATGCATGCATACATACTTAACTAAGTTCTGTATGCATGTGTTTAGCGTAACTGGCATGAAGGCCCAAGTGTGCTTTTCTCATCACTTGGCATCTGTCATTAACTTTTACAAAAATCTTCTCCTCTGAAACTACTGGACCAAATTTAATCATCATTGTTTAAAAAATTGTGTCCAATGACCCTGCCTGCCAACCAAGATGGCCGACATGGCTAAGAATAGAACATAGGGGTATAATGCAAGTTTTGTCTATTTTGAAAACCGTTATAACTTACACAAATGTATAAATAGAGAAAATCTAACAATGGGCAAAAATGTTCAGAATGTTGAGCTCTTCCAATTGTATATATACGTCAAAACGGTCAGACACCTTGCAGTTGTATATAGGTATCACGTCGTCGTCGTCCAAAGACACTTGGTTTCCGGACAATAACTTCAGTATTAGTTAATAGAAATCTGTGAAATTTAAACACAAGGTTTATAACCACAAAAGGAAGGTTAGGATTGATTTTGGGGGTTATGGTCCTAACAGTTTGGGAATTAAGGGCCAAAAAGGGGCCCAAATACGCATTTGCTAGTTTCCAGACAATAACTTGTGGAAAGGTGTATGGATCTCTCTGAAATTAGACCACAAGTTTCCATACCACAAAGGGATGGTTAGGATTGGCTTTGGGGTGTTATGGCTCAAACCGTTTAGGAATTAGCGGGGAAAACAAGGGTTTCCTGGTTAATGGACAATTACAAGTACAATGTTATGTTTGGATTACCTCTTTTACACTGCTTTTAAATTAAATATAAAGAAATGTTGTATTGTCTTGAGGTGATTAGCTGTCAATTTATTTTTAGAAGTTACTATTAAAAATGCTGATTAAGGAATATAAATTTTAGCCATGATTATGTATGTCATTTCTGAGACTTTTATGATGTATTTAAATGGGTAATTATGGTTGCAAACTCCATTGGAAATTTGAATTGAGATTATGACCAAAAATTGGGGTGGGGGGGACAATTTTTTCTCATTTCAGATTTCAGAAATTAAAAAAAAAATTTCTTCAAATATTTTTTTTTTTTTGAGGGGGCTGTTCAATTCGCAACAGCATAGTGTATTGCACAAAAGCAAAAAATTGAATATAAATTCAAATCATATAACCAATTCTAAGTTCTTTGACTACAGTTATTCTGTGTCAGAAACCTATTATGTGTCAAATATTTAATTACAATCCAAATTCAGACCTGTATCAAGCGCGAATATTGTGTCCGTTTTTGCCCCAACTGTTCATGGTTGGACCTCTACGCTCGTATCCAGCTGCGCTCGGTGAAGCAATTTACATTTCCCATCTTAAAATAATACAAGTGCTGTCTTTGTCCAACTATGATGGAGACAGAGTGGACGTGACTTAAATGTGTGGCTAGATGGCCAATGCTGTAGGCACAAATTTTGTCTGCCAAGGGGGAGAAAAGGGGATAGATCATAACCCTTGTGTAGCAAAGATGGTGAATTCTGGGCATTTAGAAATCAAGACGATTTTGTCAACTTTCACCAAAATCTCTGTTTGGCCTATTTGGGGTGTAAATGTCAATGCTTTATAGGAAAAGCTAGACAAAAATAATTATATTCTAATTTCTTTCATGTCTATTCATCAACTTAAATCACTTTTTATCTTGAAAGAATGCACTTAATAATGGGGCCAAATATTTTTTACACTTACGATTCATACTTCTTTGTGCAATAATGTTCAATAGTGTTATAGAAAAAAATTTACAATTTCCCAAATAAATAAAGTACAGAAATTTGTAAAGAAAAGAAAGATATTTTTCTAAAGGTTAAAACATTCACTTTCATGTGGGACTATTTAATTGCTTACCTGTACATGTGTATTTTAAATAATTAGAATGAACTGTTTTTTCTTGTTTAACAGATAGTGTTGATTCATTAGAAACATGCGTAGATGTTGGAGTACAACGGGGGAAACAACACAGAACTAAAGACATTATCTCATGGGTAAAAAAAAGGAGGCGACATATTCGCAGGGAAGACCTTATAGCATTCCTTTGTGGGAAGAATCCACCAAATCGCCATCGTACTAAACATAATCATAACAGAACATTAGAACGATCACATTCACCAAGAGTAAATAATGGGGAATCAATCCAGCAAACATCTGAACCAGACCTGCAAGCATTTAGAGAAGCTATTTCTCTACAAGGTAAAATAATCACTTCACAAGAAGAATATTCTTTCATCTATAGATATTAACAATATAATCATTAGTTTAAACCAAGGTTCTCACTAAGGATTTTTTAAAGGTAAGTCCAGGCCTTGCGGTCAGAAAAATTTCGAGTACGATTATTGTACTCAGACTCAAAATTCAACCAATCAAAATACTGGATTTTGTGTTTAGAGCATGGTGAGTCCCACTGTAAGAAGAAGAAATTGTTTTGCTATATTATTTATAACTTCAGTCTCCATGAAAAAAAGAGGAAAATTTCATAAAATTTAGATTATTTTTTAATATTGCCATATTAATATATTATGATATGACTGCATTTTTGATGCATCTCACAAGTTTAGAAATTCAGAGTCCTGACAGATTTTCATGAGTCCAGGACTCATGGACTCACCTATGTGAGAACCCTGTTTAACAGACATTTTTGTGAACCTTTTTTAGTTAGGATTATTATTGCACCTGACACCATAGTGGTAATTATATCCTGATGTCAGACCAGAAATAACAAACAAGTACAAAATCATGTCCATAGTGCACACCTGAAAGAAGTAAGATAAAGGGGTTATCATTTTTTCATGATATCAGAATTTTAACTCGATTTTCTGACAGGAAAGGATATTGTCGATGTATTTTATAACCAAAAACAGATTTAACAGAAAAATTCTCTGTATTTTTAGTAACTAGTAGTTACAGCAAACACTAAAACATAACAAGGTAATCTTGACCCTTCATGTGACAAATGCAACCAAATATCAGTGTAGTAATGGTCAAGATATTATTTCTTCAATTTTTATTGAAACTTTTATTCCTTCCAAAATACAAGAGTGGAATAATCATGCAATGTCAACTCTTTATCTAAATTTAAGAAAGAATTTTAAAAAATGTAGATGCCCAGTGCAAGTAAAGTGGAAACATTATCTGTACGGTTTGAGGAAATCAAATATATTGTAAACTTTAGCTACACCAATGTTTTTCTTCCATATAAAAGTAAGATTCGGTATGATTGTAACTTAAGTAAGACAACCATCCACCAGACACCAAATGAAGTAGATTGTAGCAACTACAGGTCATATGGCCTCAACAAGGCCAAAACCCACACTGTAAAGAAAGCCTTAAAAGGCCCAGAAATAACAAAAAATGTAGAACAATTCAAACAAAATAACAAATGGCCTGATATATGTTCAAAACAGTAATCAAAAACAAATATGATAGATACCACCAATGTCCATGTTCATTTTTATTAAGGGGCCTTGAAGTTGATAGCCAAGTGGTCTAAGCAGTTCATCTACTGTATCACTTGCCTGTCAACACTGAGGTTGTAAGTTTGAATTCTGCACTTGGCAGATGTGTTCGATCCAATCTAGATTGACTAGGATAAACAGTTATCCTGTTGAAGGCTCTGGTTCTCTCCAGGCTCTCCAGCTTTCTCCACCATTAAAAACTACCTGCCACGAATAGTGCTGAAAGTGGTGTTAAACACTAACAATCAATCAATCGTTAATTTCAAACATACAGATGTATAATTTAGATTATCTGTAATCATTATGGCTTTATATAATAATGATGCATTGACCTGACCACATCTTCTTTACTCATCTTTGGGACTTTGCAAACTGATAACCAGTTTTATGAGACTAATGCCTCTAGTTAATATGATGGTTTTCAGATTATAACTTATCCACTATGGACAATGATATGTGATAGCCTGTTATTTTACTGTAAATATATATAATATAATTCTTTCAAATATATACATAGCCTATAACATTCCTTATATATAATTTCAGGTTTGAATGGTGCTATGTCAAACATCAGTGTTGGTTACAAAGGACATAACGGACCATCCAATTCACAACCAATCGCGGGTAGAAATAATAGCTTAGAAGAACTTAATAAATTTATTTTGGATGAATTTGCAAGAAATTATGATTCAAGAAAAAGAACATCTTCACCAGATCATGTAAAAATGGACTCTCCATCAAGAAAGAAAAGTAGAAAGTTTTAAAAACATGTGATGAATTTGTAATTGTTTATATGCATACATTTGCATAGAGAATGCTAAAATGTGACTGTCAAAACAAAATAAAAATATTTACAAAAGAAATTACATTGGACTTGAAACATTGTTTGGTTTGAATTCTGTTGTTTCTATGGAAAATTAAATAGATTGGAATTACTGTTTATATTACAATGGAAGTTTGAACTTAAAGTAAAGATATCCTATTTTGATTTTATTTTAAGATTGGCTGTATATAAAGTATACAGAAAAATAAGTAAGTTTGTGAATTGAAAATTTACATTTTCATAAATTAGTAGAGAGCAATATAGTTTTAATCATATTACATGTTTTCACAAAAATACCAACAATGTATTCCAATTTTGTAAACTACATGTTTGTCTCAGAACTCAATAACTTAAACTGTAGTCATTGTTTTTGGTGTGGTAAGCTAGGGGTAGACATTAATAGGTATTATTTTTCTACCTCTGTTGTCAACATCAAATATTCATAAAAAAAACAAAAAGTCCCTAAATTTTATATGACAGACTACTGATAACTAACAGTAAAACACCCAAAAAATCACATTTAAGGTACAACACAAAGACAACCATTGAATGTTGGATTCTTAGCTTTTGGACAGTCACCATGAAATGTGGCAGAGTTTTATAGTGTACAAGCTCCACTTATTCAAAATATAGTGGCGGATCAAAAAGTAAAATTGTTCATTGTTCAGTGGTTGTTTTCTGAATAGATAATGAATATTTCATGTTATGCATTTTCAAATTGTTAAGGGTATTTCAAAGTAGATGAGACAAACATGTACCTCTTTATTTTAATAAGTTTTGTTATTGAGTATCCATTAATGATCTTGAGTATAGAAATTTTTTCTAAGGTATTTTGCCAGCTGTGATGAAATGCTGATGTTGTTTTTCATTTTGTAAAAAGTATCATTTGTGACTGTGTGAAAAGCTTGTTGCTCAATGTATCAATCTGTTCATAAGAAATTGTAATACAGATTTTCATCAGAATGTGTTCATTATTTTAACTGGTATATCACTAGTCTTTCTAATGAAATTGATATTTATGTCAAAATGAATTTTATATATACAGGAATACAATTTATCAGTTGTTAGACATTTTGGATGTTTGTAGAATGACATCTGTCTCTGTAGTAAGTTTTTATGCCCCCGCCAAAATTGGTTTCCGTTCTCTAACTTGAGTTTGCGTCAACCAAATGTTATGAAATTTATACACAATGCTTATTACCACAAAACACAGATCAAGTTTGAATCTTGGTGGCGTCACTTTTACCGTTCTAGAGTTATACCCCTTTATAAATGGAAAAATTGCAAAATTTAAGTTCCGTTCTCTAACTTAAGTTTGCCTCATTCAAATTTTATGAAACATATACACAATGCTTAATACCACAAAATAAAGATCAAGTTTAAATTTTGGCAGGGTCACTTTAACCATTCTCGAGTTATGCCCCTTTATAAATGGAAAAAAATGCAAAATTTTTAGTTTCAGTTCTCTAACTTAAGTTGCCCACAACCAACTGTTATGAAACTTATACACAATGCTTTTTACCTCAAAACACAGATCAAGTTGAATTTTGGTAGCGTCACTTTAATCGTTCTTGAGTTATGTCCCTTTATAATGTTGTATGCAAGCGGGGGCATCATCTGTGTCGATGGGGACACATTCTCCATTTATGAGTATATAATTTTCTCAGTTTGCAGTAACTTAAAACAAACTGAAAGGCATGATTTTGAACATATAATTAAAATGTATTAGTTATAAAATATCTGAGGCATACTCCTTTTGATTTTATCCCCATCCTTTACATTTATCAATGTTGTAGGCATGATTTAGTGGATAACAATATTATTATATCCTTTAGAATTGTTATGTTTCGTTATTCTGTTCTCACTGTTATCTTTATTGTTGATAGTTTTTTTTTATGTTACTTTTGAAAGAATATCACATAGAAAGAAATATCAAAAGAATGTCATACTTAATTTATTATACAAAATTACATATGAGGTAATTATATTCATTAATTTAAAATCTTGTTTACATAGTCAAACCTCAAGTATATAAAGTACATGTACTAAATGAAAACACATATTTAGTTGCCTTCACTAAACTAATGATAAAACCTAAAAATTATGTTTCTTTGAAGAAACTTTTTTTAACCATGAAGACTGGTGCCATCATAATTGAATGCTTGTACAATAAAGCATGCCACCAGTCATTTTCATACAAACCTATAAATGTTATGCAAAACTGAATAAAAGACAAAATAATGTATGTTGACAAATTTACTGTTATATTTGACATTTAAAATGAAAGAATGCAATTCAACTTTTGATTTAATGTGGTCAGTCCCAATCTTTCTAGTCCTGTTTTAAATGCAGGCTGCTTTGTCTCCTGACATTCTTTAAAAGCCTTCACTGTCCAATCACTGCCTTATAATGTCATTTTATGGTATGAAAGGGCATATTCCATTACATTATTTCTTAAATTGGAATGAAATTCCACACTGTTTTTAAGTATCATAAGTCTAAAATGTTGAGAATTAGGTTTTTAGGGCAAATTCTATTAAATCATTTATAGACTGAATATTAATTTTCCATAATTATTTACAACATAAATAGATGTGCATAATACATTATCATATAAATTGAAATGTTTTGGTAGTATGATTTGTTCATTAACACTTAATTTGGATTTCGAGAAGTAAGTATTGTGTACTCCTAGAATATACCTTGGACTGGGAAGATACTTTACTCAGTTGTGAAACATCACATGAACATATTAAAAATCAGAAAAAAATTATCTCAATATTGAATTTAATTCCCAACTAAAGAAGCCAGGAATTTGAGTATTATATTTTTACTGAAGGCAAATTCCACAGTATTCCTGAATTAAAATTAAATTTTCATTTAAAATTTTACCCAACAAAATATCTTTGCAAACATTTCAATTTATATTTTGACACTTAAATGGTCCTTTATTAAATGTGGTCTGTTTTTAATCATGTTTCCCCAAGTAATGCCCTTCTTGATTTGTCAGTTTTAAGCTGTACTAATATATGGTTATGATTGGTGGCAGGTGGTAGATAAGAGACTATATCATGACCTCTTGGCAAATTGTGTTTCTGTTGTATGAGATGGGTGGCATATTTATATTGTCCATATATTATAATCATTTAAATGTATGTATGTATTATAAAGTTTTTGAATTTTGTAAAAGAATTTATAGTAGATTGATATAGGAAGATTGTCTGGAACACATGTTTGTGCATGTTATTCATATTCTGATTAACATAAAGAAGATATTATTTATAAAGTAGATAGAATTTCATCCCTCAAATTTTAAAGACATGCACGCTCCAAAATTAATAATCCTCCAATCTGTAAAGGGAAACCACATGTTTGTAAACCTTCAACCTCTCCTTGTTTTTAATTTTGAAGAGTTTGTTTTAGTTTAAACATATTTTATTGTTCAAAAAGGACAAACTGACTAGTCATAAGTTTTTTAACTTATAGTATAAATGTTTGTTTCTTGTTTTCTTACAGTACTTACATTACCTGTCTATAGGACAATTTTCTTCTTTTTTCTTTTTTTTTTTATAGACCTGATAAATATAGAATACAAAAGTAAATTTCTGCCAAGGAGTAAAAGTGTTAGTCTATAAAAATGCTTATAATATGGGAAAAGTTTATTATAAGTAGAATGATCATGATTCAATTATCAGTGCCTCAGAGAAACCATTTTAATATCAACAAAAATTGTAAAAAGTAGAAACAAAGTATTTAAAATGTCTAAAATATTTATTTTGGACAAGAGGAATGTATGTAACATATATTTGTGTGTATGTATGTGTGTGTGTATGCTGCACACACTGTGTATAAGTTGTCAACTGCAATTTATAGAATGATGTATAGAATAAATGAGAAAAATACTATTTACTATATTTATAATTTACAACTGAATATCCCTTACTACAGATGTCAAGTTTACATGTTTAACACGTGGGCATTTGTATCAATACTAAACAGACTTGACCCCTGATATTAACTTGGTTCTGGGCTTGTTACTAATTACTTGAGGGTGTGTAGAAATGAAAAGGTCTGCCTGTACGAAAAAGTTTGTCTCTTTTTTATTCCTGAATAGTATTAATGCTACATAGTGCTATACATGTAGTTGCTACACATAAGGATGTTTTCACATTGCATTCCGATAGTGTAGGGTTATTGTTCAAAATTTTGAATTTAAAGAAACAAATACAAAAAAGTGTGTATCTTGCAAAATTTATATTCACCCCAGTATCAACCCTCACTGGACTTTCATTTTATGCCAAAACAAATCATGTTTCAATGGATGTTATACTGAATTTGAGGTAAGGATTTTTTTCTTCAAAAATGTCTGTGCATGTCATACATATGAAGAATATTTTTTTTCTCCAGTTTAGAGGGCCCAAAAGGAAATGTCAATAAGGTCTATGCTGGATGGGAGACTGTCACAATGAATTTTTTTTGTATTAAATTGAAACTGAACCATATGGGTTACAAGACAATGTATTCAGTGAATTGAGTTTGCTGATACATTTGGTCTCTCTAAGCACAGATGATAAGAAATAATGTAGAGTACAAGCCTCACCCAAAAAGATATTCAAACAGGAAGTGTATTTGGGTTTTTTGTCGTATATTGGTATCACGTCGGCGTCAGAGGAAGAAATTTGGTTTCCAGACAATAACTTTAGTTTAAGTGTATGGATCTCTATGAAATTTAACCAAAAGGTTCAATACCACAAAAAGAAGGTTGGGATTGTTTTTTGGGGTGATGGTCCCAATTGTTTAGGAATTAGGGGCCCAAAACAAGCATTTTTCTAGTTTCAGGACAATAACTTGTGTATAAGTATTTTTATTGCTCTGAAATTGTACCACAAGGTTCAATACCACAAGTAGAAGGTTGGGATTCATTTTGGGGGTAATTGCCCAAACAAGGAATTAGAAGAAAAAATATAAATTTGTTATTACTGATGCATATTTGATTGAATGATACCAGAATAATAGTGATATTAATATCGAATATGATGATAGTAACACATATGTCATCATGTACATAAACCAGGTCAATGATAAAGCCTCATTAAAACAGAGTTGCTTGTGTTTTTGTTCAAGTTGAGAAATTTTAGAAATGCAGTAGCAATTCTGCCTAGTCCTAAAAACTGAGTGCCCTTCTGAGTCACATGTCAGAAACATTGTGAAGCTGATTAGGCCCATGTAGGAGATCTATGGTAGACACTTTATTGTGTTGTTAGATAATCCTTATTGGGTCTTAGTTTAACACAGAATAGAAACAATACTCAGCCTCCCTTCATGTATGCTACAGAGGGGACTGTATGGGTACCTGAGGCATTCACATTGCTTGTTTCCATTTGCAAAGACTACTATATGAAAATAAAGAGATTTGATAGTTCACAGAAAAAGTCCCTCACATTTTATGTTTTACTCATTTGTAACAAGTTTTATGTAATTGTTCAGATCTGAAGACATTTAGTAAACTATATTCATATAGCTTTAGATAACTATATATCTAGTGAAATATAACAACATCCCTCAACAAGTAAGTCAATGACCTAAATTTTATGCTTCACTGACATAGTTAATTAATGTATGTGTCCTTGACTTATATACTAGGTGAAGGAGACCCATCAAAAGTAGGTCACTCTGACTTCCAATACATTCTTCGTTGATGTATTGTTTTATATTCAAGTTCACTTCTTAGATACTAGCTAATCTGCATCTTTACCAGTATATATCATGCCGCAAATAGTAGTTCATTTTGAAAATAAAGGTATAAAGAGTGACCCATTTTATGTTGAAAAATTGATTGACTTTAGTATGTTAAGTTGTTTTACTTCCTAGTTCAGATCTTTAAAGGGGCATTAGTTATCAAAATCATGTTCACAGGTTTTACTTAAACTTTCATGTTTGATTAATCATCTATTAAAATATTATGTTATAATGTATCAGCATTTCATGCATATTTAGACTTGATGCCATCAAATTGACCATTGAGATGACCTCTGAATACCGTAAATGTATTTTATGTGGCATTGATTAAATATATTTAATGTAACTTCCTTATTGTTTTAAATATCATTTTGTCTCGCCTTGACAGTGTCAAAAGTGAGACTTAGGTATGCTGTTTCTGGCGGCAGCATCAACAATTTGTTAGAGTTTGTGATTAGGTCAGTTTAAGGGGAATCACTAAAGGTAAATCAATGATAATTGTTATGCAGTGGTGTAATCCTTGGCACTTATCTCAGTTCCATAGAATTCATTTGGCCCTGCCCTTAAGTCAAGATATATTGACATGAAACTTAAGCATAGTTTTTGTCTTGTCTGGGATGAAAGATGTTGATGGCGAGACATTGGTATTGCTTTTCTGGCAACGTTGCCAAGGTCAACAATTTTTATGTTTTCTGCTTAAGTCATTTTGATAAGAACAACTTTTGATAGATCAATGATATTTTGTATGAAGTTGCATTACTATCAGTACATATCAGTTTGACAACTATTTTAAGGCCCTGCCCCCTAGGTCATGGTCCAGTGACTTTGAATTAATTAGCAATTTTCAATGTTTTTAAAAGTTAGTTTAATAGGAACTACTTGTGATAGATCAATGATATTTTCTGTAAAGTTGCATTACTATCAGTTCATATCAGTTTGACGACTATTTCGAGGCCCTGTCCCCTAGATCATGATCAGTGACTTTGAATTAATAAGCAATTTTCAATGTTAAGTTTTCTGCTTTTAAAAGTTAGTTTAATAAGAACTACTTGTGAAAGATCAATGATATGTTCTATAAAGATGCAATACTATCAGTACATATCAGTTTGACGACTATTTCAACTCCCTGTCCTTGTAGGTCATAGTCCAGTGACTTTCAATTCATAACCAATTTCTGCTTAGTTAAGTTTGATAGGAACTTCTTACTATCAGTACATATCAGTTTGACGACTATTTTGAGGCCCAGCCCCCTAAGTCATGGTCCAGTGACTTTGAATTAATAAGCAATTTTCAATGTGAAGTTTTCTGCTTAAGTTAGTTTGATAGGATCTACTTGTGATAGATCATTGATATTTTATATGAAGTTGCATTACTATAAGTATATATCAGTTTGATGACTATTTTGAGGCCCAGCCCCCTAAGACATGGTCCAGTGACTTTGAATTAATAAGCAATTTTCAATGTTAAGTTTTCTGCTTAAGTAAGTTTGATAGGATATACTTGTGATAGATCAATGATATTTTGTATGAAGTTGCATTACTATCAGTACATACCAGTTTGATGACTATTTTCAGGCCCTGGCCCCTAGGAAATGGTCCAGTGACTTTGAATTAATAAACAATTTACAATGTTAAGTTTTCTGCTTAAGTCAGTTTGTTAAGAACTGCTTGTGACAGATCAATGATATTTTGTATAAAGTTACATTACTATCAGTTCATCTCAGTTTGTTGACCATTTCTAGGCCCTCCCAACAAGATCATGGTCCAGCGACTTTGAATTAATAAGCAATGTTGCTGTCCATCAGATTGTCTTTTTCTGAATTTTATGCAGACAGGCAAGACATATCTCTGTGTCAACAGTTTATTGTGATATCATTGTTTTACTATTGTGACATCATTGTGTGCTTCTATTATCAAATCAACAAGAATCAAAAGAAAACTAGTTTCATTGTGTTTGGGGCATATGCTCATTATATTATCCTTGAAATAAATCACAATAAAATTACAACTTTAAAGAAAAACTGGTTATTTTTCAATATTAGGCCACTATACAGACATATAATAATATGCATGTAATGAATACATATTAGTTACAAATAATGATAAAAGATGAAAATTGTTTGAATTATAAACTTTTTGATATATATAGGTTGTTTTAAAGAGACCAGTTTTGACCACAAAACATAATTTTTCCTTTGCTTTTTTTTTGTCCCAATTGAAAAAGGATGTGTTTAGGACTTTAGAATGTTTATTTGTTGAAGGATCTCACATTAAGGAAGCATGATTTACTACAAGTAAACATTTGTAGCTCATTTATATGATGATTGTATACAGATTCTGTATAAAGGATGTTATGAATTTGGTAACCTGTTGAAAAATATGCAATTTCAAAATCATGAAACCTTATTGAAGCCAGATTTAATTTTTGAAAAAATTAATGTTTGACAGGACATTGTATTTTAATACTACCTTATAGTTCAATGGCCAATTTGGACTTTTAAATACAGATAGATTTTATACAATGTTATAAGACAAGATATTTTGTTAACCAAAATATAGTAAATCCAATAAATTTTTATGCTGTCTTTCAGTTTTGTTATGTTTTCAAATTATAATTAAGTCATAATATTTATAATAACAGATTTGGAGATTTCAAGACCTTGATATTTTCAAGGTTAAAGGAATGGTTATGAGGTGTTTTGATAGTGTTACCAAGCTACTTAACTCTTTTGTATAACAAGTAAATAAAAATAACACTTTACAAACTTGGTACATCCGAATAGCTTTATGGATTTACCTTCATCTGGAATGCTCATACCAAAACATTAGAACCAATGGATGTATAGGTATAGATTCTATCACTGAATTGAGTGTTATATGATAAAATTTCTCCACATGAAACTGAAATTTTCAAACTAAGAACACAAGGCTATCCAAGCATTTTAACATTTAAAAATTTAACTATCAAGAGTGGAAAATATGGTATTGCACATCATTTGGTGGTGGAATCTGTTTCTCTATTGATAATTAGATGCTGTGCAGACATACTAAATCCTTCTTTTACAATGATTTGAAAAAGAAGTGTTCTTTCTATGTGAAGGCATGGTTGCCTTTTTCATGACGTCAAAATAGGAGAAAGAGCTGCGCCATGAGCGCATGATACGCCC